AAGTCAGGACTTGCAAAGGATGCCATCTCTCGAGCTGAACGTCTCCTCAAACAATCTGAGGAATCCTTTCCCAAAAACTTTCCAGCCGAGATGCCTGAGTTACCGGTCGATCACAATGAGATCGACTGCTGTGCCTTCAAAATCCTTTCGATGCAATCAGATTTTGCTCGGGAAAAGCCACTTATTCAAATGACGATCGAGGAGGCTGGTCATCTATGTATGTTTCCACCAAAGTTTCACTGTGAGCTGAATCCGATTGAAATGTATTGGTGTTTCATCAAGAAACGTGAGTAACCCTGTAAAATCTTGGGGTTCATCTCTTGACAGCTGATCATCATGAACATTGTCCTTCTTTTCTCTCTTAGAGTATCGCAAAGAGAACTATATGTGTAAATCATTAGATGAACGAAAAGCTTTATTTGAAAAGCTAAGATCCTCTTGTTCACTGCTCACAATCAGACGTTTCTTTTGGCACATTGATGGAATACAACTCAAGTACATGTAAGCAACACAACTTACAAGCAATTTATATTATTTTTGATGTGTCTGACATGAAATTTTCATATCGATTATAGTGATGAGCAAAAAAGAGAAACGGACCCTGATCACCCAATTCATGTATATCAGTCTCATAGAAAAGTATATGACACAGCTGTCATGGATATTGACAGCTCATGAGCTGACTTCTCTTGTTTTACTTATCTTTCATCGATTATTTTGTTACAAAATATGAAAAAATCCTGTCACACACGCAAAATATACATTTTTTTGTTTTTTTTTCTTTCACACAACTGCGTGCCACCTAACCGACCAGTGTATATAATTTTTAACTGAAACTTGACAGAAATGAAAAAGTTGGTCATTGGCAACCTCTCGATGTTCTGGAGATTTACTCCTATGAAAATTTCCAAACAGTTTTGGATAGCTGCCAATGAGCCCATTACAAAAGTGCAATCAAATCTTGAAAAGCTCGAAAACTGGCCCCGTGCATAGCTTTTGAAAAAATACCTGGTGTTTAAGCGGTCTTGACGTTGAGCACTATAGATATTCATCATTTTTGGCAGGGATATATTGAATTCAAAGCCCAAAGTTTTCATTTCTATCTTTTCAAAATCATGTTTATCTTTGTATTTTATGAATATGAGTGTCACTTATCATATTATGGATTTGTTATGACAAAAACGGAACCCAGAATGATCCTTTAAGTGTGATCTCATCACTAACACAAGCCCTCTCTTTCCAGCCACCTCCAGGGGCTTGGAACTCATTAAGAAAATCTGACTGGAGCAAATCAATGCTTAAGTCCCCTTATGTTTTTTTTTCATTTTTTTTCTCATTTTCACTGTGAACGTCATTCAACTTCTGCAAGTTGGAAGAGGAAAATGATTAATGGTACAGCTTCCCATAAAAGGATTGGATACTGCACACCTCAGCCAACACACCCACACTACATATGTGCAACAAGCTAAGTAAATAGTTGTCTATCATGTACATGCAGGTCTGCTCAGTTTTTTGCCCATCAGAATAAATAAATCACATATTATACCACATGTAACTTTTTTGACTTTGAAAAAATTGTCCCAAAAATTCCCTACATATAATTATGTAGCTGCTCAGGCAATATTGTAGAAACTATTTCTTAGTAACAGAAAGGGTGTTACATGCAGTTGAGTTGATGAGATTACACCAAAACATTGAGTCAGTGTATGTAGTCAATCTTTGGAATGCTTTTGTCAATCTGAAAAAAGTTGCAGCATGTATTACATATGAACAACTTATCCTGATGAGCAGATAACTGAGCAGAACTGTATGTACTTGTTGTCAGCTATGAGGAGTATCTTGCAACACTCCCACTATCTGTCAATACTCATGTACATGTATCGGATCAAAAGGATCAAGACAAGAGTAAGACTCTGTAAGATCCCTCCGAGGTCTCAGTTATGGAACAAACAAAAGAAGCAATCAAGCTTGGGTGAAGGAACTGAGCTTGAAAGCATAAGACCCTGATCTCAAAGAAGGATAGATGTTTCATTAATCCTTGTTACATCCTAAGACGGTGACCACAAGATTAGAAACATGTAACATCACATTGGTTACATAAGGACCCTTATGAACGCATGAAGAGATCCCTTATGTGTTAGATCACAAAAACACATACACAGTGATATATAAGCAATGGCTTTCCGCACCTCAACAAGGAGAATAAACCTTTTACAAACCAACAACTTTACTTTTAGAAATCAAACTCTATGACTTTTTACTGAAAAACCAGCTCATACTTTTAACTTAGATCGTATCCAATTTAGTATCCACTTTATTGATCCTATCTTTTTTATTTGACTCCTACCGTTTTTTATAACTGTTATCGTGTATCTTTTCACTAAAGAATGTCGTTATTGAACTAAAGATCCCAACATCTACTTCATCTTATCGTCCAAAATGTTATCGAAGATCATTATTGATAAAGACGCCTCTTTATCAATATGTAGAAACTAGACATAGATTACCTTCCACCGTCCAAGATGTTTTCAAAGATTGTTATTAATAAAGATGTCTCTTTATTAATACATAGAAACTAGACTGCATATACCTGAGACAGGAGTACTCTTGTACCTACCTCAGAAGACCCTGATTGGAACAGACCTTTCAGCGAGTATCAGGCAGCGGTAGCCATCCCGCACCTAAGACAACATGGAGTTGCCAGCTCCTGTTTATGAAGGCTTGAATTTACTTCAGTAAGATACTGTAACAAAGCCAATAAAGACGCATCAAGCGCACAAGTATTCAGCTTTGATTCTCTTAAAGCCACCTGTTTGAAGTCTCAGGCTGACACTTGTTAACCACCTATTCACTGAGCCTGCTACACATATGTAGTGTGGGTGTTATGGCTCAGGTATGGAGTGATAGATCATTTTATGACAAATCATACTCCCAATATTTTTTTCCTGCACACTTGGGGAATTTGAATGATGTTTGCAGTGTTTCCTCACTGATAAAGATCACTTTAACTCACAAGCCAAAGTTTTTCATCATCATACTCTACATATCTTCATAGTATGATATTATAGATACCCCAAAAGAGATCCATCCAACCAACTGATTTGAACATCTCAAAAACTTTGGCCTGGATTGTATTGCAGTCTTTTCTAGATTTTTCAAATTGCTTATAATGGCACAAATCCAAGCTGTAGACTGTTTTACACAGTAAGACATAAAGCTGGAAAAACTCAGCTCAAGAACAAGACAACAAAAGATTCTTGAATGGTACATCAATGGTGAAACAGTACATCTAGATAGGCATTCTGCAAACCTGTCTGTAAGGTAAAGTGATCTGTGTTAGCAAGGAAGAGCAGGAAACATTAAGAAAAGTATAATAAGACAACTCAAGTGTTAACAGGTATGCTCCATTCAGATTTTGTCAGCCAGGGCATAAGTACAGATGTATCTATCACCTGGCTAACATAAGATTAAGTAAAATCGCACTTATAAGGAACTTAACTTATAAGAGTTAATAGTTTTATCTTCCGATGAATACATTCTTTTTCTGAATATTTTTAATCAATTCTTTCTTTTATTTTTTGAGTCAATTTCATTTTTCTATGATTCAAATTCAGTTTCTTTTCTTGTAAAGACATTACTGATATATCAATTAATGATGTAAGGGCTCACCACAAATTAGTAATGTCACAAGTTCAGGAGGTGAAGGGATTCCCAGTTTAGACAGAGGGTTGGACTTGGAGTGATCACCCAACCCAGCGTCCTGTAAAATCAAAACCAGACTGGATCTGGCGCCTGGGAAACGCTGATCTGACAGTCTGAGATGACCTGAACCAAATGAGCAAGTGATTACACTATATTTGTAATGATACTTGGGTGTGCACGTAATAACATCTAAAAGAATACTTGGCACTTTAGTAATAATGATGTGTACCTGGTTTTCCGCTAAATTCATTATTAACATTTGAATTATTTGTAATGTCTGCTTTTCCGCTCTTTTGGCTAGTTTGTAGGGTATATAAATGCCTATTGTTTTCCTCTTATTTCTCCTTTTTCTTCATCTTCTAATATAACCAATCAATTAATCAGTACCTTTATTTACAAAGTTACCACCGCGTCCCAAACAACCTCTTTTGCTCTTTAAAACCCTTGTCCTTTTAAAGCCCTTAGGTTAGTTATTTGCTCCACATGAATTGTTTTATTATTTAGTTTTTGGTTATTCTATTACCTTACTACTATTAGTAGTATAAATCTTACTTTGCATCTAGTTCAATAAGTCCGCTTATTGACAGATTTCCATTCCAAGCACCTGAAAGGATGTGGAAGTGGCTGGCAAGAGAGGCATTGGGTTAAGCTAACTGTAAAGTGATATCAATAGCCGGTCTCAAAGCAAACCCGGTACACCTGGTTGTCTTTTTGGCTGGGAGGTGTCAAAGATGTCAAGTCAATACACAAAGTTACCACTACAAAAGCAAGTGGGTTTACCGGGTTTTTTGGCAACTGGGGTTGCTTTGAGACCAGCTAATGTAAACCAGTGCATTTTTGAACTCCCACAGATTCACATCCTTGCTAAACTATGTACTGAGTTGTTCCTTGCTTGACCCATAGCTTGAACTCATAATGTACTTTGGATTGGATGATTAACCTTTCATTGGGGTATTCTGAAGCCTGTCAAAATTATCCTTTATGCTGCAATTCAATAAATGATAGGCCTTTATGGACTAGGAAAACTGTGTTTCAATATCCCCGTCTTAATAGCTCAGTTGGGAGAGCGTCAGACTGAAGTCACTTTATCTGAAGGTCCAGTGTTCAAGCCACTGTTGGGACACCTTTTTTGCAAGCAGAAGCTTCATTTCGAAGTAATGTCAATGTGTTTTTGGTCGTTAGAACCCGTCGTGTCAAAAATCGACAAAGTTCATGTATTTCGAAAACTTTTAACCAAACTTCCAGGTAGAACAGGATAAATACATGAAAGAATCAGCATCAGCATCAGAATCAGAGAAATGTTTAAAGTTGAAGAACGAATCGAACCAGGAAATGGAATGATTCGAATAACTTCCAAATCTTATACCGAAGACTCAAACTCAATCAACACCAAGCAAATCAAAACCGATTTATCTATCCTTAAATTTAGTTATCCATTAAAATTAATTCCAATTAAATCATATATAACCCGAACAGAATCAAAGAATGAAGATTCAGAAGAAATGAAGAGTTTAGCGGTAGAAGAAGAAAGAGAGATTCAAAGGATATATATCTTGAGTTATGGTGGAGGAATGGTCAATGGAGATTTAATTAAATTAAGAATCGAATTAGAAGAAGAAACTGGATTAGTTTTACTTACTCAAGGTTCTACAAAAGGTACAATCCTATAAAACTCTCCTGTCTTTCTGTGAGAGGTTGATTTCAAGAATGTCATGAATTTGTAGTTTTCAAACAATTCGAACCGAAACAGAACTCGATGACTCCATTCAAACTTAAATCAATCAAATCAAAACAAATCATCACAGTGAACTTGAAAGCCAATTCGATTTTAATCAGTTTACCATCACCTATTACTACTTACAAATCTTCTAACTTTTCACAATCACAATCCTTCAGATTAGCTAATCAAACGTGTTCTTTATTAATCTTAGATTGGTTAACAACTGGTAGAAAACATTTCAAAAAACCAACCAAACACCCATCAGAATCAGAAAGTAAAGAAGAAGGTAAAGAAGGTAAAGGAGAAGAATGGGAATTCGAACAATACAAATCGATCAACTCATTTTATCTCCAAGACACATTAATCCTAAAAGATTCACTAACCTTACGACCATCCCAAGAGAACGGAACCTCAAGCCACCAAAGATTTTCAATTCTACTCACAATTTATTTGATAACTTCTTCATTAAGCTCTCATGAAACTTTACATTCCCTACACCATCATTTCGAAAGCTTACAACAATCAACTAAACCAACTCATATTGTCAATCATCATTCTAATACTCATCAACCTGATCAATTGGTTTGGTCATATACTCAAATCCCATTAGATTCAGTAGATCAAACCTTGAATGATGGAATCAAGATCGGATTAATTAAGTGTATTGGAAACGATTACATTGAAATCAATCAATGGGTTTCCCAAAACTTGACTTCCATTCAACCTTTAATCGGTTTAGATCTTTATCAAAATGCATTTCGATAAACCAAAAAAACCAGAAAACCAAAACCAAAAACCAATTTCTTGACACTTTTTTTCTTCTTGAAAAATATGTTGTTTACTTATTCATTAAATTTTCATCTGTATGTATGTATCATAAACCAAAAAAAACCCAAATCCAAACCTCGAAAAAAAAAATACATTGCAAAATTCACAACAAAACTCCAAAAAAAAATCCAACAAAAAAAAAGGATAAATCTCTCAACTTTTTTCACAGTTTTCTTTTCAATTCTTTTTAAACTCTCAAACATTTAATTTTCTTACCCATCGAAATCGCTAACCAATCTCTATAGGCAACAGACCAAGTGATCGAATTGATTTCTTGTACTGAATCATAAGCCAACAATGGATCTCTCATCAGTTTGGGTTGAGTGGTAGTTGAACTTGAGCTTCTTGTGTTGGTTTGGGTTTGGTTGGGTTTGGATTGGGATTGAGTAGATTGGGATTGGGATTGAGTTGATTGGGATTGGGATGGGTTTGGATGGATGGTTGAAGTGGTTCCTGTTTCAATTAGGTTTGGAATTCCATTAAAATCCCAAATTAATACTTGACAATCATCACCTTTTCAAAACACATCCCAACCCAACCAGAAAAGCAACACAAACAAAGAAACAAAATATTAGTGATTGATCAAGTTTTCCATTTTGATGAAAGAAGAAGCCGTACCACATGATCCTAATAAGTTTCCATCAGGTGACCAAGCCAACCCATTCACAACAGAAGCATGAGCCTTTAATTCAACCACAGGTACACCAGGAGATCGAACATCAAGTAAATGAACCTCATGACCCGAAGCGGAAGAAACAGCAATATAATTAGGATCGATCGGATTGAATTTCAGCCTTAGGAGAGCCGGAGCTTGAGCAGTGAGTGGTAAAGGATTGGATTCGAATAAGATTGTAGAATGATCTAAAGATCTTAAATCAAAGATCCGAACCGATCCATCGGCCCCTACAGATGCAAAGATCTCACGTGATGAAGTTGACCAACATACATCGTAGACTTCTCGATCGTGGGCGATGAGTTGGGTGATGGCTGATGAAGAGGATATGTCCCAGACTGTACAGGTGGTGTCGATTGAAGAAGTGACGATTAAAGATGGATCAAGTTGTGACCAAGAAAAAGAAGTCAGTGGTGCAGAATAATCAGCTTTACTCTAAAAAAGAAACCCATTGATGGGAAAAAAAATCAAGATCAACAAATTCAGAAAAGTTACCAAAAGAAAAAGACGAAGTGTTTAAGATCAGTTTTGCCATACTTTGGTTTACTTGGTTTTTGTAATCAACTCACATTTGCCATTTGAGAACGTAAGACAAGTTGATAACCCGAAGATTGAGAAATCTTTCGATGATTCTCATTCACATACCCACTCGACCCGGAAGAACCATCAAAGTTACCCAAAGCGGAAAGATGCGAAGAATGATGATGAGCACCATAAGCAAAATCCCATAACCTAATACATTCTGAACTAGTAGCCAACATCTCTCTAGTTTTCAAACATGAATTCGTACCACTTGAAGCTTGTAAAGATTCCGATAATCTGATTGGGGAGAAATCAATTGAAGTAGTAGGGTATGGATGTAATGCTTTGGCTATAGGAGTTAGTTGGGTTTGGTGGGTGAATGGATGTGATTGAAGACCTAGGATTGTCACATTGTTTTCAGAATAAGATTCAATGTAAGATCCGATGGCTAGTTTTAAGTCTGGAATGTTGGATGTAGATTTGGTTTGATGAGTTGATGATGGTTCATTTGAATTAGAATGAGTTAAGGGTGAAAATGCTAATGAAAAAGTTGAACCTTTTAGCAAACCAAAAAAAGAAAGTTTAGCTTAGAGATTCTGGGATGTTGATTTGTTTGAGAATGGGTTGACTTACAATCTGATTCGTAGTCTATGACAAGGTCTTGGTTCATGTTTTGAAGTAGTCTTGATAAGATTGATATGGTTGTGAATGTGATTGATTGAAGATGAAGATCCCACCCGATTTCATCATTAGGAGACCCGAGCTATGACGGTGATCTGAGTCGGACTCGGTTAAATACTCGATCGATGAGGGTCTTTGAAGTTATAAATAGTCTGTTTACTCTCAGTCTCAGTGCTAATGAACATCGAATTCGACTTTCTCAATCTTCTATCTTCAAGTTCAAGACCAACGCAATGGCATTCCAAGCGATCGTTAATGGAGCAGATTGTGGACCATCCAATCCACTTCAAAGTTTACTAAAACATATCGAAAGAGATCCTAAATCTAATCAACTTGATCATTTCTCTCAACTTGAATCTTCGACTTCTTCGGCTTCTTCTTCTTCTTTCTTATCGAATGAAAACCAAAGTAATTTGAAAGAAACTCAAGATTTCTTGAATCCTACTTCTCACTTCAATCCTCTTCATCATCATCAACAACATCATCATCATCATGAGAATTTGTTGAATCATCCACACTTTTCGGGTTCTCATAGAGGTATGATCTTTTACTCTCCATCTTTTTTTGGATTCACTAATTTTTTCCTTTTTTTTGGTTTATAGATTCTCATCAAGAGTTTTTACCACATCATTTGAATTCTACTACACATTCGATCATCACACCAGAAGAAATCAATCGTATGGAAAGATCATTCCAAGGACCACCAACCCGGAACGAAACTAGATTTCCAAACGAACAACCAAAAGAATGGACACAAGAGTTTTCATCATCTGCCATCGAAACTGGTCAAGTGGATCCAATCTCTGAAAGTTCAAGTACTTATCACCCTAGATCTAACTTTGGAATGGGTCCGAACCGGTTCATGAATCAGTTTAGTCAGCTAGGAGGTCTAGGAGGAGGTTTACATGATATGATGGGATCTTCTTCTATGATCTTCAACTCTGGTTTACCCATCACTCAAGCTCAAGCTCACGCTCAAAACCAATCACAATCACAGAGCAGCCAATTGATTGAATTATCAGATGAGAATTGGGAAGCCGAATTTGCAAAAGTAGGGATCTCGGACCGATCTGAAACCAAAGCCGATGAAAGCGTTGGGCAAACTGAACAAAATAGAAGAGCAGTAGATGAAGAAAGTTCAAGCAGAGAAGAAGAGTTAGAATTAGAAGAAGCAGATGATGCAGCATTTATGAGATCATTAGAAACTACATGGAAGAATTTAAATTTGACGGGTTCGATTAATGAATCTGAACTTCATGGATGGTCAGAAGAATTTGAAAAACTTAATTCAGAGTATCATTCATCATCGATTTTAAATAGTGAGAACATTGCCGATTTTCTAAAAGATCCCAAACCTTATCCATACCAAACTGAACATAATCCATATAAAGATTTAGAAGATCCATTAGAAGAAGGTAAAAGATTAATTTCAATGGGAGCACCGTTGAGTGAAGCTGCATTAGCATTCGAAGCAGCATGTCAATTGAATCCGAATCGAGGAGAAGCTTGGAGAATGTTGGGAGAAACGAATGCAGCGGATGAAAAGGAGTTTTTAGCGATCAAAGCCTTTGAAAAAGCCATTGGATGTGGAGGGATCGATGGTGAAGCTTCTTGGATGGCTTTAGCGATCGGATGGGTGAATGAAGGTTATGAACTTAGAGCCTTAGCTACACTTGAAAGATGGTTAGAACTTACTTATCCTAATGTGATTCGAAAGATGAAATCCGATTCGATCCATCAAACCCATCATAATCCTTGGGAACGACATTCTAGAGTCGTCGATTTGTTTTTAGAAGCCGCTAGAGCTGGACCTAAACTTAGAGAAGGAGAAGCTAAAGAATCGATTCAAAGTCAACCAGTCGATGCTGAAATTCAAATCGGATTAGGAGTTTTGTTTTATAGTAATAATGATTTCTTAAGAGCTAAAGATTGTTTTGAATCAGCTTTGAATGTGAAACCGAATGATTATCTTTTATGGAATCGATTAGGTGCTACTTTGGCAAACGGAGGTGAACCTGAAGAAGCCATTGAAGCTTATCGAAAAGCCTTGGAGATCAGACCGAATTTCACTAGAGCGATTTATAATCTTGGAGTCTCTTGTATGAATATTAATTGTTTTAAAGAAGGAGCTGAACATCTTTTAGCTGCGATTTCGTTACATCAGAAATCATGTGATGTAGGGAAGAATGGTCAAATGAAGATTGATGGTGATCAAATCGGTTTGGAAAATCAACCACATGATGTTTTACCTGATGGTGATGGTAGTCAAAACTTATATAGAACTTTACAGCGTGCATTTATTTGTTTAGTAAGTCTTTTGATTCTTTGAGATTTAGGTAAAAAAATTGGATCTTGATTTTTGGTTTTTTTTTCTCTCTTTCGATAGGATCGTCAAGATTTAGCTGATCGAGTGAAGTTTGGAGTTGATGTTGAGATCTTTAAGAGTGAAGGATTTGAATTTTGATTCAAAAGACAAGAAAAGAAGAGAGAAATCAATTGAAAGAAAATGAAAAAAAAGAAAAGTTGAGAAGTATACTTATCTTTATAGGGAAAAGAGGTATAAGATTGATGGTTTTATTAGGTTACTTTTCTCAATGTTTTTTAATGAGAAGATCAAAATCAACTTGGGTTCTTCTCTGTTTACATGATACGTAAATTTGTCTTTTTGCAAGAAAAAAATCCGGGTTTCTCTTTCCTTTCTCTCTTTCTCTCTTTCTTTCTTTCTCCTTTCTTTCTTTCTCCTTTCTTTCTTTCGTTTAATGTTCATTTATTTTTTAAAAATCATTTTTACATATTATTTACCAAAAACAAACAGATTATGATGTAAGAAAGATAAAGTGTTGTACTAATGTTTAGGGGGTTACTTTTTTTTGTTTTTTATCAAGTCTTTCTTTATCTCTTAATTAAAGAAATTGTGGTATGTGATACAATGTTTTATTTCTCTGATCTTTTTTATTAGTATCTTATAGACTTTTTCATGTTCATTTTGATTTGATTCAGATGTTGTTTTTTTCTTCTCTTTTTGAATGAGTTTAATTTGTAATCTTTTTATAAAAAAAAATTGGTTTTTCTTTCATTTTTGATGATGAATTGATTTGTACAAATTTTAATCAGTGTTTTTTTGCTTGACTTGACTTGATCATCTTTGAATGGTTTACTTTGATGATGTGTGTTTAATGTGATGATCCAAGGTGTTCTGTTCAGAATGAAACTATTTGAGTCAAGATAAATGTCACATATGTACTTGAGTCAAACTTAACTAAGTCCCTTGTGAGTTGTACTGGCCAGCTCCCATGTTGAGTTACAGTTGTTATCACCTATGTAGACTCAACTAGGGCTGTAACCCGGCCCTGAACTTTCAGCGCCAGCCCCGGGGCGCCGCCTGGCCTCAGTGAAGCCCAAAGGCCTTTCAAAATGGATCAGGGCCAGGCAGGGCACACCCTGAATCTGACGCCTTGGGGCCAGGCAGGGCCAGGGGCTGTTTTTAGCCACAAAAACCACTCAGAGAGTCATTATTTCATTCAACAAAATTGTAAAAGAGTGACTTACCGGGGGATTTTTTGAAGGAAAATGATTGGCAGCCCCGGTGCCTGACCCGCCCAAGGCACCCTCAGTGCGTGCTTGTGATCATCAGCACGTTAGGTTTGGCGGCCCTGGGGCGCATACTGTGAGTGCACTGAGATGGCTCGGCCAGAGTGTGCCGGGGCTGGGTCGCAGCCCTAGACTCAACCATAGCTTAATCCAGTTTGGCCCCGGTCCCAGCTGCAGTCCAACATGTACTTTTTTGTGGTTGTTGAATTTCTCACATGTGGTAAGAGCATCTCCAACGGAGCTTGTAATTTGGGGGCTCCCAAACAGACCCCCCAAAGCACTTCTCAAGTGTAGAGGGTCAAAAAAGTGTGTCTGTACAGTGAAGCACTTAAATTTACGCAAATCCCCTGATTGAAGTCTTTTTGTATACTTGTACTCAAACACTGTCCACTTGACTTTGGTGCACATGATGTCAAGAGTCTTGATTGTCCCCCTAAATATGCAGACTCTTGACAACAATTTGGAGGTCCGCTGCGGTGTTTTTTGGTGTTTTCATCACCTGTATTGTCAAGATCCCGCATTTTACAAGCTCCATTGGAGATGCTCTAACACCACAGAAATTATTATGTGTGATCCCCAATCAAGCAACCAAGTCTGTGAGTTTCTCCAAGTGAGGATCTTGTTGGCCATAGGTTTGCTATGGGTTTGCTAGCTTCCCTCAAGCTGCCCTTTTGTTCTATTTGTTCATTTTTCACTTTAACTTATCTTACTAACCAACTATGTAGGTCTACTGCAAAGGATGTCTGTTACAACTTCTTGTGGGTTTTCTTCCACCACGAGCTTTACGAGATATGGGGTACTGTAGTTGCATATGTAGTGGACGACTCAAGGGCAACTTGAGGCAAGCTAGCAAACTTCACTGCCAGGATTAAACACTGTCCCTAATGGAATAATGCTCACTTTTGCATTAATTGCTAAGCATTTATATGGCAAAAATTAATTATTCCAAAAAAGCAACACATTATCCCAATTAGGACAGTGTTTAATCCTGGCAGTGCTTATAGCAAGCCTAGGGCACACAAGATCCGTAATTGGGGAAAGTTGTGAACCTAGTCACTGCAACTTTGCTCAATTGTGGTTGACACTTGATGCCATGGGGTATGTAGCAACCACTACATCATGTAAAAAATTACATAAATTGACTAAATTTCACACTCATTTGCATTAGCAGCACTGTAACTTCCATAACTTTATACATACAGTCAACTCCCGCTAAGTTAATATCCCTGTAAGTGCATAATTCTCCATGTGTATATAGTGCTTATCCCTGAAAACAAGGAAATCAAATCAGATCTACAAAACTTATCCCCTCTGCCAAAACTCACCTTTTTTGAATTCCAAAAGTGGTTTTGAAATTGTGAGATTGAGGACTCTGTGTCTATAGCTTTTTGTAACAATCAATAGGTTTTTCTTGCTTTTCAAATATCAATCTTTGCGGCACAACCCTGTTCCCATTTCCTTATTTTCAGCAATAAGCACTATAGGATTTTTTTGCTGCCAAAAAGGGGTTTTCCAGCCAAAATGAGGTCTATAAGTGCATGAAAAAATCACCTGCCAAGATGTATGTAATTAGAGGGAGTTGACTGTACAGTACTAGCAGGTTAAAGATACTTATCATTTACTTCTAAACCCTATGTCACAACACCAAACAAATTGAATAAGTAGCCATTTTTTCCTTAAAATTTAAAATCAAATTTTATTCTTCAACAATCTGACCTTCTTCGGGGGCTTTTGTTTCAGATAATGATATTTTCCAAAATAAAGTGTCTCTTGTAGTTGTAATCATCAAGTGTCTTTATGAGTTATAGAACTTATTGATGAGTGTCCAAAGAGGTTTCAAAAAACATGCCATAAAGTAAATCAAAAATTGAAATGAACTAAATAAGAAAGATACATATGCTGGAAATACCTCAAAGATTTTCAGGGTTAGACTTCTCTGTCAGTGTCAACTTACCTGAACATTAAAACCTGTCAGAAGGAGCTTGACTAAAGATTTTTATTAATTAAACTAGGTTTTGAAACACCCCAAGTGCACAGCCAGCATATGTGGCTTGGATGCAAAAATACAAGGAGTCCTTGGATTTTGACTCCAAGGGAAGCCAACGCTGGACCAATTACGCTAAAAAAGTGTTAGAGAAGCTGGTAGCGTAACTTTTTCATCCATCTACACCAACGTTTCCCGTTAGATGTGGTGATCTACGCTACCAGATCCTGAAATTTTTGTTAACTCAGTATTGCTACATTCTTAGCGTTAGCTGGATTTGTTCATCTATGTTAACAGCCATCAAGATTTGATGTTAGCTGTTAGCTTTGGTTAGCGTGCCCCTGCACCAATTCGAGGACTTCACCTCCTGAAGGTGAAGATCCTTGACGTGATGAGTTGTAACCAACTCGCAAACGCGCGAGTCAGTTCGCCCTGTGGTTGGGTCACATTGGAATCAAGTTTTTTTGATCACAATTTGATGATCATACAGTGGCTATTGACACTAAAGTCCTACTCTCACAACTCAAAATGAACGCAAAGCATCAATTATAGTAGTATCCACCACCGAACCAGCCCTTGCTGCTATAGCTTACGGGAAAGCCGATTAAATTTTTTTACGTGATGTTAGTTGTTGGCGCGTTTTTGTAGCGCTCTACAGTTACATTTTTGCAGTTTCGATTTGTTCGTTAGCTTGTTCAAGTTACGCTGATCAAAAAGTGTTAGCTAATGGTCCCCAGAATAACGTTATTACATTATCATGATAACTTGCTCATCTACGCTATCCGGATTGGTCCTGATAGCGCTGTGTAGCGTAGTGATCCAGCGTTGGGGAAGCTCCCTCTGACAATCCAATCCAAGGCAATGGCAAGGGCCAAAATTTTCCTCGGAAGTATTCCTTGGGTGCCCTTTTCCTTGGGAGGGCCATCCAAGGACTCCTCGGACGTTTGTCACCAAGGCAACTATGTGGGTAGTGATGTGTGTGAATCCTGGTTTTTGTCTCACATTAGTGGTGCACAAACATACAGCCCAACATGAAAACCTATGTCAAAAACCCATGAAAACCCAACTTCTTTTTGGGTTTTTTTGACGGGTTGTTTCACATGGGTTTAACTCATCAAATTGAAAATCAGGGGGGTTTGATATGGACTCAGTCCTACTCAGTCTCAACTACCCCTTCCCCTTCCTTTCCAATGCAACACACCCAAAAAAGTAAACTTTTTATATCAAAGATCAATCACAATTGATGTGATTTGATTTGATTTGATTCATGTTCTTTGTACATCACAATCAATCCAATTTGGTTCAATAGACTCATGTGTGTCTCTTCTCTGGCTATGTTCAATCCAATCAGATTGAATCCATCAAATTCAAAAAAGGTTCTATCTGTTATATGCTGCTTTTCTAGTCTATCTGATATATGCTGATATATAAGTTTTTTGCTTTTTGTTTTGTTTCAACTTTTGCAATATGAAGAAATCAAAAATTTATTGTTAGGTGATGACACACAATCACCAGATCCTTTAGTCTACTGCCTACCAACTCTAGGCATGTTTTAGGGTGAGATGAGAGTTGGGGTGTTTAAACCTTCCCAGGGCAACCCATCAAAAAAAACAAAAAGAAGTTGGGTTTTCATGGGTTTTTGACGTGGGCTCTCATGTTGTGCTGTAGGTTTGTACACCACTATTGTTTACAAGTCCAGAACCCTTTACAGAGAATCAGGGTATACAACTATCTTCTTCCAGAACACCAGAAGTTTCTTTTGGTGTGTTCTGGTGTTCTGTAATGTGGCAAAGTTGAATGCATTAGGGGTTCTCAAAGTAGACCCAGTTGACCCAGTTGAATTTTTGGCTGTGATCTGTCAAAAAAATGTCAACTCAATAGACAAAGTTACTGCCAAAAAGCAACCGGGTCATCTGGGTTTTCTTGAAACAAGGTCTACTTTGAGAACCCCTATTGTATTATAAACTAAGGGTTCTGACGTCTTGAAAAAAACTTCTGGAAATTTCCAGAAGATATCTGTATTCCCTAAGTGTACAGGTATACAGAGTTAATTGATTAACTACTGCATACATATGGGTTCTTTTGGTTAACACAAATCTCATGACAAGAATGAGCTGATATAAGCTTAGTAGCAGCACCAAATGATAACCCCTTATCTTCAAGACAGAGGGATGTCATGAGTTTGTCTTTTTTGAAAGAACTCTGGTGATCAAATCCCAACTCCTCAAGGAGCTTTTGAGTGGGGTAATAATTGGGGTGAATAAGAGCAAACAAATTTTCACAGTTATTGCAGGAACTCTCTTGGCGCATTTGCCGGTCACCCAAGAAGACACCTTCCTGAGTATCAGAAGCTGACTGAGCAGGCACCTCTTTGATTGGTCCAATGTTCTCCAATAGTCCCTTCCCATGTACGTAGATAAGTCTTGAATTGGAGTTTTGGGTAGAGTATTAACACTGTAAGTGTTTTTTCCCAAATTTTTGTGAGCAATGTTTGTTTGGTAGTTGGAACTTGTTTTAACTTACAGGAATTGGGGCCGGCAAAGTGGCTTTGAAAGACGATCTGAGTTTGTGAAAAAGACGCGTCTCCGAAAATCTCAGGAGGATCTTACTAACTTATGGTTTTTAGCACAGCAGTTTTCACGCGTAGCTCTTTACCATCTTATCAAAAACCTATGATCTGTTGTATTAGATCCTTCTCTTTTCCTCACTGATTTGTATCTTTTCGATTCATCCACTTTGTTATCACGGTTTCTCCAAATCCGTTTCTCTACTCTCTTCATACAAAGTTATCTAGATACAAATTTTTTGTACCCACCATCCCTCCCTTTTCTCTATTGGGGGTTGTATTCCTTTATCACTAGGGACATGATCGTTGTAGCTTCCGCCCCATTGGGCTTTCAGTTGTTGCAGTTCGAGTCAGACCCTCCGGGGCCGTCATGCGTAATTTGGCAGTTTTTATAGGCAAACTCTCAAGTCTGATAAAAAGCCCAATGTGCCAATACTATCCCTGTGCAAGGTACACTGTCAATTTAGTATTCATATCATTTAGGGATGAATATGAGTAAGCCTATCCAGGTTTTAGTCCACACCTCAAGTCTGTCAGGGCTCAACCTGAACCAAAATGTTCAAATTCCTGGATCAATATAGACTACTTGATCAACTGCTGAACAACCATGACCTGAGGCTGAATGCCTTACACCAATATCTTGTATGACTTCTGGGAGTCTCATAGTTGGTTGTGAAGTATTCAAACCATCATTCCTAGTCAGATTATCATTCTTAGTTAAATATGCTTGAATTTGATCTTCTTGATTTTTCTCCAGGATTTATTTTTTGTTTGGCAGCACCAGGGCCAATCATAGATAGTAGAATATAAGGTCAATGATCACTCCTAGGTGGATTTAAAAAGTTGTAGAATTTTTTGAAACCATTGGGGTTTTTGATTTTCCACTTTATGATCATTTGATAATTGGTTTTGTCCATATCATACCAAGCAAAATGATCCACCAGGAATTGTCTGTGCTGATAAGTTCCAACTGTGTCATATCTTGTGCTAAGGGGTCCTCTTCTGAAACCAATGCAAGAATTGGGTCAACAATGGCCAAAAATTCAAATCAGTGTGAGATGGAGTTTGATACAACAAGATATTGAACATGTTGTACTTACATTACTACATCATGATTGAACTTGAAAATATTTGTATTGACCATAGTGGTTTGAGGTGAATGCCAAAAAAATCAATTGGTTGAAGAAAAGAAGTACAAAACTGTTTGTGATGCCTGAATGTATTTCTGAAGAGTTGGTTTTGATGTTCTCATAGACGCGGTACCGAAGATGCGAGACCCTCACTATGGACCCAGGGGGTCAAAATCTAAAAATAGCCCTCCTTCATAGCTCCAAAACCGTTGAGGGATTTTGGATTGTATGTCGGACAAATGAGAATAAGTGAAATGAAATCTCAGGTAAGTGGTGAAGAGTAAGACCCCTTGAGAACAAAAGAAGGGAAAGGTTGATCGTATTTAAAACACTTGATGAAATTCACGTATCACAAAGTGGATATGCAATGTTTGTAAAGGTAAGGAGAGAAGATGCATTTTGTGTTCGACTGTTTATGGGAAGATTGTATCAGAGTCTGAGATGATAAAATCAGGCTTCTTGAGGATTTAAGTCAGCCATCGCGATAGGGTCAATGCAGGACATCGAATAGATACTTGATAGTGTTTCAAGTTTTCGATCAACTTGAGGCATTACCTTACTCTGGATTCATGATCTTGAATTTGCTGAACACAAAGTGCTTGACTCTTATGCCAAAAGGGAATAGAATCAAAACTGATTGATTGGTACTTGTTGAAATTAATGGTAGAATCGATCACCTTCCTCAAGCATATCACATATCTGCACAATCGTTCACCAGAGTACTGTCGACTAGCTTTAACAAGAGGTAAAATTGAAGCGAAACAAAAGAGTTCTTGGAAGACGATAAAGATCATGAATTTGTGGGATATCATATTGTATACCAAACATTCTTGATCCCAGCCAGATGAATTTATGCTTCAATTGATCAAGAGTTTGATTTTGAAAGAATTCCAAAGTTCATCCACGTCCTTTTTAGTCAGTACTATTGAATTGCTTCGATTAGTACTGGTCGCTGAATGACTAAGACCCAACACCAAGAGATTAGGCCATGTATTGGTAGACAAAAAATGCTTCACCGTGTCCCATTGATTATTGTACAATTTACGACGGTATTGAATCAGCTCTAGATCTTTACAGCCCTTAAAGCTGGTAAGGAGACCAAAGCCGGCGCCGCCATCTAGGACGAGGTGTTTAAGAGCCGGAAGATCAGTCGAATCATTGACATGTGATTTGTCTTGGCAGCGATCAAGATAAATCGTGAGTCGAGTCAGAAAGGGGGCAGAACCGCTGAGTATTTTTTGAACCATGCCAGCTGTTAATCCGGTACAAGAGGAAAGCTCAAGAGTTGTAAGCCGTTGAGGCCAAGAGTTTAAGGTCCAAGTTTGATCTTTGCAAGTGACATTCTCGCGACGTAATTTGCGAAGGTTCTGATGCTGGGCCAGGTTCCATCCCAAAGATTCTTCTGTGGATGCTTCTGCACCAAATTCGAAGGCATTGAGTCCCAATGATACAAGAGACGGCAGCTTTTTGAGAAGATCAATCACATATGCACCTGGAAGACTTGCGTATGCGTAGTCCATTAATGCTAAATGTTGAAGTTGAGGAAGAAGTGAAAGTAGACCCTTCAAGCGGACCGTGATGGCAGTAAACAAATCTGCTTGATCTACAACTTCTGTGATATTTATTTCGACCGAATTTATAGAAGGACATGCTCTAAAAATCTTCTCAATGTTTACCAGTCCGATTCCGTTTCTTATCACGTGGCGGATATTACCGTATGGATCTGTATTATCGTGAATACTCCTTTCCAACTCCGAAAGCTCTTTATCTTCAAGGGTCAAATCTTCTAATTCAAATGCGAAAGATTTGACTAGTTGTCCGTGCCTCAACAGTATACCCTCTGTCCAAAGTGACATGTGAGCAGGAAGGGCGCTCGGAAATTGAAGGTGCTGACAGTTTCATTAGACAAGGTCGAATAAGCACACTTAAGTTTCAAGGTACGTAGATCAAAGCTGGAATGCATGCAAGAAATGGCTTTACCTGCCACAACTTGGGAAGACAAAGCCTGTAAAACTTTCGATTGACCACCGCCAAGGTTTGAAAGGTATCAAGAATTGGTGGACCACCGTGATCCGAGTATACTTGATGATCATGATCTTTCTGCAGGATCTGTGACATACGCTCCTGTTTTCTTTCCGTGAGTTGGGATTTCTCGTCAAAGGACTGGTGGTAAACTATGTTCACAATGTTTTCTAAAACTTCTTCTGGAACATCGGCCCGAGCCAAGATACTTTGGGATGAAGGATTTGATCGGAATCGACCGGCCAAGAATTGGAAGACATCTCCAGCAGACCCATCGATGTTAAGATCCTGTTGAAGTTGTTCGTCAATTGACCAGAATATAAGAGTGAGAACTGCCCGGTTGAATTTGGGATCGTGTTTGTGTAACTCGTCTAGGAGGTAGACAGATGACCCAGTGAGAACGCCTATCATGACCTTTAGATGCTTTTCCCATACACTGAAGTTTTCGCCAGTTTGCTTTAACTGGGGGATACATTTTGCAATGTCATGAAGTCTGTATACAAACTCTGGACTACAATACGTCTCGGTTGCGATCCCAGGTTGTTTATGATTGTACCAATATCGAGCGTCCATAACGTTGATTTGCACGATTGAATATTTGATGATTTTGAGACGAAGATGAGTGTTGATAGCAAACGAGAATAAGATTGAGAGTGTTCCCCAAACCTGCGACGGTACACACCAGTCCATTTCAGGCGAGGGCGCGAAAGTTGCAGGAATATGGGGTGTCTCAGGTTGTGGGCGCGGCGCAAAAAACGCGCTTCGACGCGCCTTTTTAAGGGCGCGCCTAGGTGTCAAAGAAATCGGCAAAATCGGGGTCGGCGCGCCATTCAAAAAACGCACCAGATCTTTGAAGTTCAACTTCTATGTCCTGTCACCAATATTGGAGACTTGGATCCTTGCTGTGAGCTTTGAAGACAGCTCTTTTTAGCTTTTCTAACCTCCAAAAGGTAATTTGGTGGTGGTAGACAGCTCTAGCAATACAAACGTAGAATAAATGACAACGTATAAACAACATTTTGGTTGTCGGCAATTTTTTTGTAAGAAAACGCGCCGGGCGCACCAAGTGGCGCCTCGGCGTGAAAAATTACAAAAAAACACGCCTTGGCGCGCCCACAACCTGAGGGGTGTCACAGTTACCTCAACGAGGGACAGCTCATACAGAGGTTGATCTTGACAATTAGATTGGGGTAGTACAGAGGAAAATTTACATTCCCGATTCTAGAGTTGGAAAGCCTGCCTGGATCAACTCGGTATTGTGCACCGACGTTCTGCAGTCACCTTCGGCGCTGGGATCCGTCACGTTGGCGGTGCGAGGTGCAAAAACGGCGAAGGCCGGCCAGCCACAACCAATTCTTCTTAACGCACAACCCAACATGCTTTGTCCTGTCGCAGCGATACGACGGAGGTTATCATCCGCGTTAGAACCGAATGACTCTCTGTTTGGTTATTTCGAGGGCGACATACGTATCAATCTCACAAGGACGATTGTCGTTCGGCGATGTAAACAAATATGGGACGCCGAAGGACTCACCGGTCTGTCAGGCCATTCCTTCCGCGTTGGAGGCGCGTCTCTACAAAACGCACTGGGCGTAGGACATGCCGACATCCAACGGTTAGGCCGTTGGACATCCGACTGCTACCTCATTTATCTTCGAGAATATACTACTGAGGATTTATGACGTGCGACCTCCATATTCTCTTTGATTAACCGATTCCACTAAAGTACGCTGTGGGAGCTGGGTACGTCCCGTCGTCAGTGTCTTTCACACAGTGCGGGGGTTCGCGCAAGGCTCAGGCTTTGCAAAAACACTGAGTGTTGGGCTAAGCGCTAACCCCCCTTCTGTGCTTAAGTCCCCATCGTCTGCGACGCACTCTGATGTCGGTACCTTTGATTGTTGTCTCCCCTTTTAGGAAAGCTCTAGATCCTACTTTCGTTTACCGGATCTTACGGCGGTGCTCAGCCAAGTCGATAATTAACTCTCCCTAGAGGTTTCTCGATCCCTGGCTACCACCTTCCTGAGTCTTTTGTCCTAGAGACGCCAATTCATAGGCACCTCCCACCCGGACGAGGCACGAGGCAGGTTGCCCGGGTCCATGGACTAGCGGGTCCAACCCACAACGCGTCAGAGAGGATCACCTCTGGTTTAGCAGCCTGGTTGAAGGTTGGAAAGATCAACCGTCAGGCCCGTACCTGCCAAGAGGTTTTCCCCTCAGCTTTGGGAAAGATCTGACATGATCAAGCAGACACAAAGTCGAGAGGAATGTTCATATAGCACATCCGCTCGATTTCATCTTTCAGAGTTTCCTGAACTAGATCCTGTCATCTACTCCTTCCCTTTTCCTCTCATCTTTTCCATTATCCGGTTTCTCTTCTCTCAGTGTGGCTTTTGTGTCAAGTCTCTAAGACTTTCCCCCTTTTTTGTGTCCATCCCTCCCTCCCCACGAACTGCTGTCTGGTCTCCTGTAAAGTCAACCAGAGGACAGGGCTAAGCGCTAACCCCCCTTCTGTGCTTAAGTCCCCGTCGTCTGCGACACACTCTGATGTCGGTACCTTTGATTTTTGTCTCCCCTTTTAGGAAAGCTCTAGATCCTACTTTCGTTTACCGGATCTTACGGCGGTGCTCAGCCAAGTCAATAATTACCTCTCCCTAGAGGTTTCTCAATCCCTGGCTACCACCTTCCCGAGTCTTTTGTCCTAGAGACGCCAATTCATAGGCACCTCCCCCCATACATGTGACCTACTGGTTACGCGTACATCATTGTGTGAATAGTCTTTTACGTTGTATCAAAAGATAGTACTAAAATGTTTCCTATTAATTAGTAATACATGCAATATAAATTATACTATTTTGCTCTTCTTCTTAAAGCTTCTGATGAAGCTCACACGACCAAAGCCCAGCGCCAATCAAGACCCAATAAGGGAATGGACAACATTTTGGTTGTCGGCAATTTTTTTGTAAGAAAACGCACCGGGCGCACCAAGTGGCGCCTCGGCGTGAAAAATTACAAAAAAACACGCCTTGGCGCGCCCACAACCTGAGGGGTGTCACAGTTACCTCAACAAGGGACAGCTCATACAGAGGTTGATCTTGACAATTAGATTGGGGTAGTACAGAGGAAAATTTACATTCCTTCATCTGTAGTCTTTCCTCACTTGCTCACCCCACAATATTCCCTCTCAGCATCTTTTCTCTCGACCTCTGCGGACTGTCAAGGGCTTGTAGGGATTGTGCAAGGTGACATTTTGTAAAACTGGATTTAGCTCCAACTTCAACAAAGGCCTGGCAGATCCACCGCAAATCCAGACTACTTATATCTGCATATCTATAAACAGACAAGGTTTTCAAATGGAGTTGACCTGAAAATATGTCAGATCAAAGAAGACCACATGTATTGAGGACAGGTTAGTGGAACACTCAACTGCAAATTTTAGATCAAATCAAAAGCAAAAAAGTAATGTGGAGTTGTGGGACTTGTGGAAAGTTGTCTGCTTTGATTGTATTGAGAATCCTCATTTGATTAAGTTGGGAGTAGCTGTCCAGTTACTCAATTGAAGATATGTGAAAATATCTAAAATACAATTTTACAAAAATTGCTTTGCCCGATCCCTTCTAAGCTCTTTTATAAATTTTTTGTGGTTGTTTATCCCATGATGGATGGGATTTAGGGTAGAAAAGTCTAAAAAATCATTCCTTCCACAGCTTCAAGACCACAGAAGAAAACTGGCAGCCCGCTAACATTCAGAAAGAGAAGAAGCTGCAAGGAGAAGAATACTAGAGCAGGTAGAAGAACAAAATAGAAGAGCAGCCTCCCAAACTCCAACACTGGTACAAACTCTTCCTAACATTGAAGGTAACCAATCACCAGCGTCAACTCACACAGCTGTGTCTCAGGCAGCAGTATGGCCACTCCCACAAGCTGTCTGAGACACATTTTCTCAACCATTGTACTGGCCAAAAAACCCGCCCAGGTGAGTTTTTTTATTCTCTCTTTTATGTTTGTATAAAGTAAGTCAACTTTGATTTAGCTGATTTTTTTGGTAATTAGGTTAAGGCTGCTAAGCAGTTCATCGCTTCTTCAAATGGTCCCAATACTGTAGACGCCAAGTTGGATGATGTGACTCAACGTTTGGGGATAAGCTTCTTTCTTCTTGACTGACTTTCCCCTCTTTCAGAATTTTGGGGAAATCAAACTAATGAAATAGTTCTTTACAAGATGCCAAGAAGCTTATCAAGTTGCATGAGTTGACTGCTGAGTTGTTTCATTTTTATGTGGAAGGTTCCAGCATTGGTGGTGATGGAGCAATCCTCACAGCCCCATGGGACCCTAACTTTCACTATTGGTTCACCTTCAGATGTGTGTTCATGTGGGCCAAAGACATTGTAAGTTTTCTCTCTATTATAGCCAAAAGTATGTCATACTGACCATTTCATTTGGTCACATGGCAGGTCTGAGGTGTAGCCACAAAGAATATGGCACCCAACTCTGCCACCTATTGAGCCAAAATTGCCAAGAGCCATGTGATCCATAGGGGTACAACGGTCCAAGATTGTGTGCAACTTTGATATCCCCAAGGCAGTCAAGGGAAAGGTATTTTTGTAGGAGGTAGTGGCACCAAACCTACCTCACCCGGATGTCAACCTTCCCCTTCTCCTCAAAAGAGATGTACTATCCCGGACAATGGCGATGGAGATGACACCCCCTTAGCCTTTTACAATCAGGAGTTGAAGAAGGTCAAGGTTCCCAAAATTGGTAAGTAATTCTATTTCATCTTGAACCAGGCCTTCTCTAACAGGTCTACATGTTTGCAGAAGATGACCCCAACTTTTGGGGACCTGATCCATCCGTAGATGACATTGTCCTATCTTCTGAGCTCAAAATCTCAGAAAAGAACAAGTACAAGCTTGATAAATTCCTCATTGAATCCGGGCTATCTTCCCGCCTGATCCGTAAAATTATGAGAAAGGCCAAGATCCCAAAGTGGTTGGATATTGTTTGCTGCTCCCAAATGACCAAATTGACCTTGAAAACTACGGGTATCAACCAAGAGTATGCGGCCATAATCTTAGCTAAGGCTCAAGAGTGGAATGAAGAAGCACTTGGTGAGTCAGATCCTTCTCTGAGCCATAGGTAAACCAAGACTGACATTTATTGTGTTACAATCTCAATAGATCAAATTGTTTATATGTCAACTTGACATACTTAATTAACTCAAATACTTCAAGGCAGCCAAAATTAGATCCAAGGTAATCCAAATAGACACAAGATTATTTTGATCTCTGACTCCTTGCATTTTAAATACAAGATACATCAAATAGATACAAGATTATTTTAATCTCAGACTCTTTACATTTGTGTGTGTGTAAATTTGTACTTCAGTCCTTATTTCTTGGACCAAGACCAAAGTTAATGAAGGGTTGTTTTGACTGAAGTTTAACTGCAGGTGAGATGAAGTGTGAGCATCCAATACCAATTGCCATGAAGGCCATTTTCCTTTCTAGTATTGTTTTCAATAATAATAATGATTCAACCCATTTGCTGAGCACTTCTTGAATTCTTTGAGGCCCAAATGCTTGGTTGCAAGAAGTATTAGGGCCTTTTTTGGCATTTTCATTTGCCAAAATTGAAAATGAGCACTTCTTCAAGTGCTTGACTAAAAAGTTGAAGCAGAAAAACAGGAATTTTTTTTGCAGAGGCAGAAATGAAATCTCTGTTCTTCGTGTCTTTGACTCTGAAAGACTTCATGAGGAAGGACTCAGCCCTTTTTTTACAAATTTGAAAACAAAAAGTTTTCAAGACAAAAACTTTTCAAGACCAAAACTTTTCAAGATCTTCTCATGTGATCTTCTTGCTTTGGGTTTCATGTTTATTCTTCCATGTGAGTGTTGTCTACAAAACACTTGGCTCTGAGACCTCATGCACACCCTCCCATCAAGCTTCTTCTCAAAAAATGTCATGTGAAGTATTTTTGGAAGATATACGCCCAATTTCATTACAGTAAGAGATATTGAAATCGTTGAAGGAAAAAATAACAAACACCAAAAAAAACAAATAACGAGAAAAATTATCAATGGACAAATGGGGACAATACAGGTAAAAACAAAAATTTCTACTGGGTTGAAAAATGGAATCCATTTTTTTAATTCCAAAAAAATATACCAGACATGAGTCAATTATAGATAGCTGCAGCCTCTAAAAAGGCCTTCACATAGATCTGCTGTAAACATGTCCATACAGGCCATAAAGACCATCATGGTCTCTTCTGCAAGACTTGTTGTGCATTGAAGAACTTGCAAGTGTTGTAATATAGCTATCAGCACAGAAAATCCCTTCTCAATGGGATTGAAATATGGGATACAAGCTGGTAGGTAGAGAAGGCAGACTCTGTGTGCTTTGCAGAGCTCGGCAACTCTGCCCCTGTGATGGATTGGGGCATTGTCCATGACCAGGACACTGTTGTCTGCTGTACATGGGTTCATTGCTGGTAACTAGAGGGTGAAGGCCAGGTCAGTAACTTGATATTTGACTTTTGATCAAAAGAAACGCTTATCACTTCATTTTCCAAAAAATCCTTGAAATCAATCCTTGCATACCCCCCTGGTTGGATCTTAAGAGCCAATATACTGTCCATTGAGATAGCTGTGAGTTGGTTGCTGGACCTGGCTAGTAGGTTCGCCAACTGGTGCTCTTCTGTATTCACAATAAATGTGATGTTTGGTAATAGCTGATTCATCTTCAAAAACAGTACAATGTCTGATATGTTACAAGACAGAGAGAAAAAAACATGTACCAGTAAAAACCAACCCTCTAGGATTGATGCCACAGACATCCTCAATGTAGTCTGCTTGTGTGGTGAATGATTGATTAGGATGAACAGTGCTTGCTTTCTTGCGGGTCCATTGAAGGCAATGACAAAGCTCAACTGAAAGGGTTCGCAAGGACATTTGAATATCGTGATTTTCATGAATTTTGCTTTGAAGTTTGTCAAGATCAAGGGTTGGATCAAGTCGGAGGGAATTGAGAACAGATTTGCGTTCAGGCTGTGCTAATGTGGTGGGAGGTCTGCGGGCCATATGTCCCAGAGGGTTGGCAATGACTGCTTGAGTAGTTTGGTAAAGGTCATACCACCGACAAGTGGATGTGAGTGACACATCCACTCCAAGGGTCCTAAGGATTTCTGGATAGGAAACACCTTGCAAGACCAAGCAAGCAACAATGAGTTTGATGTTGGGTGCATAGATATTCACTGGCACCTTTCTACAATATAACAATCAAAAAAGTGAGTCAGTTCAAGACAGAAAAACAGGACAAGGAAGGAGAAAAGAGGATAAAAAGGTCTGACTTCTATATCAGGAAAAAGGGAAATTTCAAAAAATTGAAGGAAAACAAGAAATATGGATCGAATTGGGTGTGAGTGAAGGGAAAGTGTGAAGAATGAGAATTCAACTGGTGATATTCTTCAATTGGTGTGACTGTTTGTATCTGGTGATTAGATACCTGCAATAGTATGGCACCAAAGGAAGAGACCTGTTTTGATATGTCAATCAGGTGGGGACAACATTCAAAAAGGGACATCTTCCCACCCAATCTGTCACTCAGACGAAACTGCCTGGTCCAGTTTTGCCTGAGTTGGGGACATACAGGTTAAAACTACCTGTAACACAAATCACATAAATAATACCAATAAATTCATGAAGCGCTGTAGTGTTTTTGAGAATCACACAATTTTTTGCACATATGTGCAAAAATGTGTGTGCGCCAAACTTAACCAAGTCCCTGGCTGGCTCTGTGCCAAAGGCCCAAGCCCCAGCAAGGGACTTACCACATAAAAGGAAATCCTGGCGTGAGAAGTAGCCTGTATTGGCTCAAAAACACTACTTCAAATTCTTTGGTTTGTCTCTAAATAAACAGGGCGCGGAGGTAAATAAAAGGAAGACTGCAAATATTCATTACATATGATCCAATTGCAAGCTCCCCCAAATATCGTCTGGAACTTGGGCTACTGGGGGATCAACAATGGTTCTTTTTTCAGTTTTTCTGAGCGGTGAGCCTGCTCAAAGCCTGTAATTCTCAGAAAGTGGTCAAAATGATTGATCTTCAACTACCAAAAAAAATGACTTCCCAGCAAGATAGAAAGTAGCTTGCAATTGGTACATAGATAATGGCCCCTTGCTATTTTCTTTTTCCTTTGTCTCAAGACATGTTTATTTAGAGACAAACGGAAGAATTTGAAGTAGTATTCTTTGAGCCAATACAGGCTACTTCTCACGCCAGGATTCCGTTTTATTTGGTGTCTCTTTCTGGGGCTTGAGCCTTTGGCAAGGGACTTGGTTAAGTTCGTTATGCGCCTTCTTTCACATTTTGGCTTACCAAATCTGTTTTTGGGTCACATATGCAACTGAAAATCAGTACAGCTTTTTGGTGGTGTGCAGTCGGTTGCACACGTCACCCACCAGTTACCAAAGTGGGTTGTATGTACTACTTATGTACTTTGAAGACGTCGGATTTGTTCAGCAAGAGCTCTTGACTCTCATGTGAGATTGTATCATAACTCATGAAGATGTGACTCATGAAAAGGTGGATAATTTTTGGTTGAATCATTCATTGAGCATATAAGATGTTTGAAATATAGATTGACTAAGTACTGTTGTTGATCCATTGGGTAGAACTTGGACAAGAGAAAAAAGTTTTCAAATAATAATAAAGATTCCAAAATTTCAGCCCTTCACATTCTTGGATCAAGATTGGCGGCCCTATCCAGATAGATGCACAAGACTCCTCTTTCTAGTGATCAAGATTCTGATGTTTAAAGTATCCCATATTTCATCCACGTCCTTCTTAGTTGGTCTTTGCGAATTCCTTCGATCAATGTACATCTGTCTATGTTGAAGATCCAAAACTGAGAGCTTAGGCCATGTGTATATAGATAAAAGATGCTTCATCGAGTCCCATAGATCATTGGTCATTATACGAGGAGATTTAATCAATTCTATGTCTTTACAACCCTTAAAGCTTAAAATGGAAACCCCTGCTTCACTTCCGAGGATGAGTTGTTTAAGAGCCGGGAGATCAGTCTGATCAACGAAATCTGATTTGCCTGAGAGATGCTGAACGTGTAACTTAAGTCTAGTGAGACAGGGAGCAGAACCACTGAGGAGTTTGTGCACCATGCGAGGTGTCAACCCAGGACAATCGCTAATCTCAAGTGTTGTAAGCTGTTGGAGCCAAGACTTCAAGTTCCAAGTTTGATCTTCGCAAGTGACCTCAAAAAGACGTATTACGCAGAGCTTCTGAAGCTGGGCCAGGTTCCATCCCAAGGATTCTTCTGTGGTGGACTTTTCAAAAAATTTGAAGTGGCAGAGGTCCAATGATACGAGAGACGGTAGCTTCTTGAGAAGATCAATCACAATTTCGCCTGTAAGACCTAAGTTGTATCTGAGGCTCGTCAATCTTAAATGTTGAAGTTGGGGGATAAGTCCAAATAGACCTATCAAGCGGGATGTCCTGGCAGAAGACGGCTGTGAGACATATGTATTCTCTGGAATACACATTATTACCGACTCTAGACAAGGACAGGCTTTGAAGATTTTTCGAATGTTCGTCTGTCCAATTCCGAATACTGAGTATTCCGTCAAGTCTTCTAATTCACCTCTTGGCATTGTGTTATCGTAAGCACTCTTTTCCAAGTCTGAAAGTTCTCCATCGACGTAGGTGATAAGCGACATGTCTTCTAATCGAAAACTGAAAGTTTTGACTCGCTTCCCATGATTCAAGAGTATATCTTGGGTCCAATGTGACAAAGAAGTAGGTAACGAGGTTGGAAATCGGAGGTTCTGATCAAATTAACAAAGTCAGTTAAGTGTGAACTGAAATCCATACACAAGACATTCATACCTGCCACAATCTAGGACGACAGAGCCTGTAAAACTTTCGATTGACCAAAGCCAGGCTTTGGAAGGTAGTGAGAGGCGGTAGTCGTTTGTATACTCCGTCCTCCATGTCTTCCTGGGAAGTCCATGATCCCCTATTCTCCTGTTTTCTCTGACGCATAGCGCTGTACTCTTTGGAAGAATAAAGGTAAACAATATTCACGATGATGTCTAAAATTTCTTCAGGGAGATCCGCCCGATTCATGATACATGGAGTCAACGGGGCCGATCGAAATCGATCTGCCAAGACTTGAAAGGCTTCTCCAGCAGACCCATCGATGTTAAGAGAATGTTGGAGTTCTTTGTGAATTGACCAGAATATGAGATTGAAAACTGCTCGGTTTAATTTTGGATCGTGTTTGTCGAACTGGTCTTGAAGGTAGTCGGACGTTCCAGAAAGGTTATGAATCATGACTTTCAGCTCTCGTTCCCACAGAACAAAGTTCTCGCCAGTGTTCTTTAACTGGGTCAAATCCTTTGCAATACTTGGAATTCTACATAAGAACTCGGTGCTACAAGCCTCATTCGCAATCCCAGATGCATTACGCGTGTTCAACGATTGAGCGTTCATATCCCGTATTTTGACTGCGTAGTAAATCCTCACTCAATGAAAGCCAAAGATGAGAGTGATGATGGAAGGCGAGAATGAGCAACGTTGAACGAGATGGGTGTATGCAAGACGCGAAACGAACTGAGGGTGTGTTAAATTTAGAGTTTGACTGGACGCGGCAGCGCGACTCGCGAACCTGTTGGCCCCGGCCCCGGTTTTGTGCGCGGACTGATCAGCAACCGAGGAATTTGGAATGCCTTCCCTCACAAGAGAGGACATCAACTATTATGGCTTGATATCTAGACCTAAAGAATGATATGTCAACTACTTCCTCTTTCAATGAATAAATGGATCCTCATCCAACCAGCTTGCTACTAACTTGCTCATGGATACAACTCCAAAAAAAGCTGTTATCAGACCAAGTATCCCAAGATGTGATCAGTCTGATAGAACTGTGCTTTTCTTTCTTAGTCTCTTTCTCTCTCTCTTTATTGGATTAGAGACTTGGAATGGAACTTTATGGACTGAGTTTATTTTGGTAATCAGTCAAAACCCAATATTTGTCCTATTTGTAAATCTGATAGAGATCTTAATCCTGATTTATGTATGTCTTTTGATTTCAGAATGTCATCATAAGATGCAAGCAAGCAAAAAATAATAGAATAACAGACAAACAAAAAATATGAATGAAGCTTGGAATTTATTTATTCCCATTACTGATCAATAAACTTGCACATTTTTAAAAAAATGACCGGTGTGAATCATGTATCAATAGAATTTTTTCATTAAGACCAAAACCATGTCCAACATGTGCTTCACCCCAAACATTTGAGAATTTAAAAGTAGAAAAAAAAGTAATTATATGAAAAATGATTCATAAGCTGTTTAATAAATGTAGAGAACATTTTGAAACTTTAGGAAGAATGTTTTCTGATTTACTGATTTGATTGTTACCTTTAGGCCAACTTGAGCGCGGACAAGTTAGTTGCACAATCACATGCTCTGGCGCAAAAGAGATCAGCTGCTCAAGCCCTTGCGTCAAATCTGACAACGCAATGTACATCAACTAGATACATATGCCATCCCTCACCGGTATATCAGATCATTCAACATCACAACTAGATCACAACCAAAAACCAAATATAGAAGCAGAATCAGGACACTGTGATGATTAGTCAAACATACTTGGACTTTATTCTAATCTCTTTCACTGCTAGGTTTATTGAAATTTTTTCCTTAAGATCAATCTGAATAAATCCATAGGTTTACTCCGAGTCCAATTATCATTCCTAACATTTCTCCAAGTACATTTATTTGATTATCATTGTCATTCAAGTCTTTTCTTTTTGAAGTTTTGATTTCAATAGGTCAAGTTTCAGCTTTTGAGCTTAAAGTTCTTATTGAATTTAATCAAATAATATGTACATGATATCATTTTCAACAGTTTTTTCAAGTATAAAATACTGCACCTATGTCAGCATGATTTGTATTTCTAAACATATGTGAATTGTAGATTTGCTTGTATTATCTTTTTCGTCCCTTTTGGTTTCTTCATCAATCATTGTTTGCTATCATTAAAATTTCATCAATTAGTTTTTTTGATCAATTCACATGGGTTATTTATGCTGTGATAAGAACTGCCAGGTCAACTCAATGGAATGAAAGATGTAGTGAAATTAGGAGAATGAGGGCTGATGCTACAATATTGCGATACTGAGAAAACCGTTGTAAGGTAGCTAGCAAAAAGAGTCATAAATTTAAAGGAAACACAAGATGACCATCATTTGATATTGTTGAGGGAGAATTTTGCGAAGCAGTGCTTTCAAATGGACCGAGGAAGATGTAGGTTTACTACCAACCATTGCCAATGCGCTGAGGACAGGTTAAAAGTGAAAACGCATCCAGAACGTAAACAACTGTTTGGCGAAACAAGATAGAGAGGTCCTTGATTATCTAGCAATTGAAAAGATTGTGCACTGAGTCCTCATCCAGTCCATCTCAAAAGAGGGTCTATAGAACACAGTTAAAGCTCACCTGCGGCACCAATCAAAACAATTTTTACCAAATAACCTCATTCAAGAAATGGGCCATTGGTTACATGGCATGTGAACACCCCCGATAAGCGATTCATGTGGTCCTTTTTGTGATGGAGGGTTGGGTGGTTCAGTCAAGTGACTGCTACAAGGAGTGTTTGGATTCTGACCTAGCAAGCGATGAATCCGACGAGATCAAACATAGAACGATAAATTCAACACAGATCATATCTTCTCTTGGAGAGTTTCGGTGTTTAAAAGTGTACAGACTTACATTTAAGTCGACAATATGTCTTTTGACCTCCATGTTTGTGGTCCCTAAAGTGTGTATACCAACCCCTGTTGACACAAGCGACACCCATATCACTCCTGACGTTGATGCACAGGTCAGTGGCGGTTTCAGTAGCGCTGCTGGCGTTATAAGCTGTTCCATCGTACTGGCAGACTGTGCAGCTGTTAGCCAAACTGAACCCTTCAACCCCTAACCCAGCCAAGATGAGCGATATCAATAAGATAGTAAGACTGATAAACAGATGTGACAAAATTCGAGACATGCTGATTGTGAAATTTTTTTGAAGCTTGAATTCTACCAATCAATTGAAAGGAGTTGAGCGAAGTTAATGAACCAAAGCTGAGAGACAAATGTGATTTATGTGTATGTTGTGTTAGTCAAAGCGCCCGGAGGTTTTGGAGAATCTCCAAACCCTTCAAAGGTTTGTACATTTGTTCATTCTTTGCTCAGCTTTGTCCTACCGCAAGTTTAAACCTCGAGTTCATTTCTAAAATCTTCCATGTTTTCAAGCGGATGTTTTGCTTGCCCACAGAGGCCTACAGATGCTCACCGGTGCACTACATATATACACGCCCACGGCCTCACCCGGTGCACAGCTTTCGCCTTTTGCCAGATTCCCTCAGATTTCCGGAGACATCATTCAACTGGCAGAAGTGAACAATAAGGGTACTCAAAGCAAAGTATGTAGCGCTACATACTTTTCGCTACATACTTTTTTTGGCGGGGACAAAGAAAAAAAATATACTTTTGGCCTCGCCTTCCCCGCCAAAAAAAGTATATAGCAAAAAGTATGTACACGTACATACTTACTTTGAGTACCCTTAATGAAGACATGGGAAGACAGAAAGATGAATGACAGGACTTTGGGTTTTTCAATTTGAGAACGCGTTTTCGGGCCACCGGTGTTTCGAACGCACCCTTCTCTTTCCTCAGTCAAAGTGTTTTCTCGGAGTCCGGACTTGCATTCGCCTGCCGTGAGGTTTAACCTATCGACGCGTTGGTCGCACTTTTTTAGCCTGCTGAATCCAGTGACCAATGCGAAGCGTGAGCGTTTGACGGTCAAGTAATTATGGTAGTACCATAACACCTTTCAAGCAACTCAAGTGAGAAAAAAGCTTTTCAATAATTCTTAAAGTCTCAAATTAAGCCAAAAATAAAGAAAGGTTTTGAAGATAGACGACGTGGATGGAGTGGTCTTGTATCCAAGTTAAACACAAACTTGAAATGCTGTAAATACTCTCTTCTCAGTAATGTTGTAATGTTCTCTAAAGACAAAGACTGTAGATATGGATTCCAAGTTGTTTGTTTTGCACAAAAGGTTGATCATTTTTGTATAATACCGTGTTCTTTATTTTGCTCAAGAGATTCATTTTTTTTGTCTAGGAGCGACAGCGAGTCAAAAAACCTTGTAAATTTACGGTACTCAAAGCTGTGTATAGTTTTGTGTGTATAGTTTTTTTTGCCCAAATATACTTTTTTTTTGCGGGGAAAAAAAAGTATATTTGGGCAAAAAAACTACATAGCTTTGAGCTCCCCATATGTATATCTGCGTTTGTTGATCAGATTCTGGTGGCTAAACTGTCAACCAAAATATACTTTGCCCAGGTCGTGTATAGTTGCGAAAAAAGTATATTCGGGCCAAAAAAACTATACACACGAAACTATGCACAGCTTTGAGTACCGTAATTATCATCCTACTGTTATTCTGCTTAGCCTCTACATCTGGCTGATGACAGAGCCGTTCAGCTGAAAATGCTGGCCGCAGAGCCTCCGGCAAGTGCTTTGATTTTTGGTGAGTAGTGGGGCAAGCGCGTTTTCCTTTTTTTCCAGTCGGGGTATCAAGTGTAGACGTGTCGAGTGAGCCCTAGCAATCGAGGCTGAGTAAGCCTTTGTCATAGCATAGAATCCATTCCTACAGGTAAAAGACTTTAGCATGTGGAACCAGTCTTCAAAGGAGGTTTACTCACAAATCGTCCTTTTTAATCAAGCTGCTGATGGCACCCTGAGCTATACAGAGCGTGCACCAAGCTAGGCGCGCCTCTGTGTCCTTTTGCCGCCTCGCCCACCCCTGGATCTGCAAGACTGAAGTGAAATCTGCTCAGATCACCTTATCAACTAAACCTATTACAAAACGAAAACATGCTCATCGTCGTCTACAATCGATTAATCGCAGGTTATGAATCTTGATTGAAATCATGAGACAACAGCTTAAAAGAAATTTCCAAAAGGTTTGAAAGATTTTGATTTAATATTGATTCGATTGATGATGAAACTTTGAATCTAACATAATTGACCGTTGGGTTTCAAAAACTTTGAAGTTTTACACCAACTTCATACATCATCAGTGAAACAAAATACACAAACTTAATCGGAACTCACAATACTTTCAACAAAACCATTACATAGAAAGAAATCTATACCATCATTATTCGTACGGTTCTTGAAATTCAGTTTTTGTTTTGTTGTTCAGAATATCAATGATTGATTATAATTCTCGACGATTAGAACGGGTAGTAGAAGAAGACAATATGAATGAAGAAGACATCGACATCGAAACAGAAGAAAATAAACCACAACTCATTGAACCTCACCCTATGACCATTGAAAGAAATGAAGTGAGTCAAATATCCTTCAACTTCAAGACAACCAACGAAATCTTCTCGATATCTAATCAATTGATTTATCATGATTGATTTTTTTGTTCTAGATGGATAGAATCAAACAAGACCCGAATTATGTTGATCTTTGTCCTTGGACTTCAAGAAAACATTGTAGACAACAACAAGTCGAATGTAAAAAAGTAAACCACCCATCCATAACTAGCCAACCTACATCCGAAGTCCTAAACCCATATCAATCTGATTTCTAGGTACATTATCGACCGGATATCAGACCACACACAGATCTTGGTTTAGGCGATTGTAGTTACCTAAACAGTTTCGTTTTTTCATCAACTTTTCAAAACATTAACTTTTTCTTCTTTCTAAAAGTTAACCAATTCATGTTTATCTTTTTGTTTTGCGTATGATTGATACTTTATATGTAGCATGTCATCGAATGGATACTTGTAGATACCTTCATTGGATGGTAGAAGATCCTGTTTCGATTGAAAAATCCATGAATTCACCTCCAAGACAATTATCAAAACAAGTGAGTTTAATTTCAATCGATTCCTTTTCTAGATTTCCATTCAATATATATATGAAGAACTTTTGGAATCAGATGAGAAAACTCATCACGGCTTTTAAATGATTTCTAGAATCTTGTTCCTGCTCAATGGGTTAATTGTGATTTAAGAGCTTTAGATGTTGGAATCTTGGGTCAATTTGATGTAGTCATGATGGATCCTCCTTGGGGTAAGTTTCTTCAACCGACTAAACCTTCATTAAAATCAACTAATTTTCTTAATAATTCGATTTATCAATTATTCTAGATATTCATATGAGTTTACCATATGGTAAGTAGGTATATACACCTTTTTTCGATTATAGATTGATTGATTTAAATTGATTTGAAAAAAAAAATAGGTACCATGACAGATGATGAAATGTTAAAGATGCCAATTGCACAACTTCAAAGAGATGGAGGACTAGTTTTTGTTTGGGTCACAGGTAGAGCTTTAGAATTAGGTAGAGATTGTATGAGAACTTGGGGGTCAGTATCAGATTTTTTTATACAAGTCAAACTCAAGTAAGAATTATTGATTGGTTTGATATGGTAAACTTGGTGATTGGATCGGGGGTTTAGGTATGAAAGAATTGAAGAAATTGTTTGGGTCAAGACTAACCAATTACAAAGATTGATTAGAACGGGTAGAACGGGACATTATCTTAGTTGAGTTTTGCCTCTTTCTCTTGTTTCCTAGTTTTTGTCTGATAGCTGATCATCTTGGGTTTAAATTATCTGTAGATCATAGTAAAGAACATTGTTTAGTAGGATTTAAACGGCCTTTGAATAGAGCAGAAGGAACAATGACAGCTGAAGAAGTTCAAAACGCTTTGAGTTGGGTACAGAGAGGTATCGATACCGATGTGATTGTTGCAGAAGTTAGTCTTCAAGTCACCTCAGTGTCACAATGTCATTCATCGTGTTATATCGTTTCCCATTATCTTACGTCCTTTTTCCTGTGACTTGATCGTTTTTAGGTCCGTGAGACGTCAAGGAAACCTGATGAGGTCAGCAGGGCACTTGACCATCTGACATCATATCTGAGAACATCTGGCTGAGAATCATGCTTTTAATATTTGAATCCTTGATTGCTTAACAGATATATCAGATGATTGAACGCGCTTGTCCTGGTGGTAGAAAATTAGAACTGTTTGGTCGACAACACAACTTTCGACCTGGATGGTGATTTTCCTTTTTTCCTTTTTGTGTACTACAAAAAACATCATACTGATTATACCTTTGTTCGTTCGGATGGCTTTAATGATAAAGGATTACATTGGGAAATCAACTTAGTAGTGATTGCTTATATGAGCAGGAAACTGTGAACAGGTTTAATGAGATAAGTATTTTTTAACTTCATCAGACTGGCAGAAGGGGTATCTTGGCTAATAAAAGTTTGGATGGTTATTTACAGGTATCCAGAAAGGAATTTAAAATGTATGACAACTACAAAGAATGTAGGAAATGTCAAGGAAAGCACTTGAAGATTACGATTAAAGGTCATAGTCAATTTGGTTTGAAGAAATTTTACAATTGAAGCTTATCACTTCTGGTTGATGACAGGTTTGTGAGACTTTTGTTTTGGATGTAGGATAAGTTTTGGATTAGTTTGATTGCATATCTTGAAAAGCATTGTGAACTTTGTAAAGTTATTTTTTTTGTATTACTTGATTTCAGAATTGATGATTCATACCTTGAATAGGCTTGATTATAAATTGGCCCCCAGAGGAAAAACTCGACAGAAATCCTTGCCTCTGAGCTGAATTTCAGATTTCCTTTGGTCTAGATTGGTATTGTTTGACCTAACAGATCTTCTGTAACATGGTTTTTGAAGAGCTTTTAGGAAGACTTGGGCGCAGGTTGAATTCTAACATACATGTTCTCTTGAAAAACTAGGATACACTTCAGAATAAGCTTATCAACACTTTTCATGTACTCGCCAAACAACAAATGATACCATAGTTGATCTCATGTGACAGTGCCTTGCGTTCATTTTGTTGTTCTCCTACATATTGAAGTTCAAGTCGTTTTCTTCTGATAGCTACTTCCTCAAAAGCCTACTCATTTTAGGTGGAGTGAACCCCAAGTTTAATGACATACGTTTCAACCATTCTGGAGTTTCAGGTACTCCTTCACTTTCTTCCCTAGTAGGTACTAGAGGTACAAGAGAAATTGTTAATTGAATTTTTCTTACATTTTTCGTCCGACAACATACCCCAAAGCTTACCTGGTTTAACATTGGGATTTATTTCCATCAAAGGATCCTCTAGATCTTCTGTCACCATACGGCTCGTGCTATTCATTCCAGAATCTGAAAATTCGATTATATCCTCCTGAGAGGTTGTTACTCCAAAATCACTAGGTTGAAGGATCATTGAATCATTTTGGTAATCTAAATCTGATGATCCAGTCGAGATAGTCTTTGATTCGGTTCTGATTGGCTCTTTTTTAGGAGAAGGAGAGTTAAGTGAAGAGATGAATTCCAAGTTTGAAACTTCGGAAAAGCTTTTATCAGATTCATAGGAAAGCAAGTCTCTTTCAGGTATCGTATCGGAATTTGATATAGTTCTCTTGGTAAAATTTCCACCTGAATGACTGGTATTTGTATCAAAAAAAGTCGAAGTTTGTCCTACATTCACTTTTCTTCGCTTAGCTGCATTTGAGGCAGCTGCTAGTATGTCAGAAAAATCGTCAGATGACGTCGATCTTTCTGAAGTTGAACTGATCTTTCGATGTGTTTTTGAAATATACCTTTGGAATTCGAATGAATTTCTTCAGAAATTTGAACAAAAAGGTTTGACGCTATAAATCAGTCAAGAGGCCTTTGAAGATTTCCCAGGTGGATAATGCTCATGGCAAATGCGAAAAGATGTTTGATGAGAATGCTTTACTTTGATTTGTTCTCCACACCTCTGATGACATTTGATGTGACTTTCGGAAGCCGGCGTCGAGAACCCTCGATTGACTTCAAGAGACTAGGTATAGTCTGGTATTTATGTTGTAAAGTAGGCATGCGATGTCCCTTGACCTCTAGTGGTGATTCAGGAAATTTTGTAAAAGTGTCTTCTACGTCTTTTTGTGAACTGGGCGCCGGCTCTTTGAAAACAGAATCGTAGCCGAGAGGAACCTTCATTTCTTGGTCTTCGGAATAGTGTTCGCTTTCCTTATAGGAGATGATTTGATGAGGAATGCCCTTACCCGCGCTCTGCGACCCCTCAGATTCTTCAATGGTCGAAGATGGTAAATCATTGTCTGACTGTCGGTCAGTCTTGTTTGAGAGAGAAGTGTGGCTGCCATTGATTTCTCTGGTCAGATCACCTTCTCGAATGCCTGGTGAAGACACAGGTAAAGAGAGCTCTGGCCCGTCATTTTGGTACCTACCGGTCAAAGATCCACGATAGTCAGCTCAACGGAGGTGATGAATTCGAACCCTGAAAACAAATCTCAAGCATCATAGTTTTCACCCCATTTTCTTCATATCAGCTTTGGATGCATGATCACCATTATATCTCGATAAGTGATGTGATATCACGCCATTGTCAATCTTATCTTGCCTTGCAATCGGATCCTCATTTGACTTTAGAAGCCAGGTCCAACTTTTCATTTTCAAAAGACTATCTCTCTTCTCTGCATTCGTGACTGCGGGCATACGTACGAACTGCGATAAACTTTTTGCTTCCGACCAATCTTAAATCAAGATGGACAGGAGGGATCCAAGGACAAACTTGATACCTACGAAGTTCACGGGATTTACCAGATTGGGTATGGACTGTTGAGTTGGCTGCGCTTGCTGGCTGAGTTGAAGGCTCTGGAACGATGTTCTCTTCTAGTAAGCCTCGAGACCTCAGTGGAGGTTGATTGATATGAGAGGCAAAGGTAAACTTGGAGAATAGCTTGTCTGCGGGTATCGATCGATCAAGATTTTTATGAGGAACGTTCTTATTCTTAGTCTTGTTCGGTTTGGTTCGACTTGCAAAAGAGGTTTTAATGAGCTCGAATGATTCATTGTGATCTTCTTTCTACTGGAATGGCCTACTTACTGCAGTTTTGTCTTTGCCAGCTGTCTGAATTGTTCACGGTCATGGTAGGGTAATCAGAAGCGGTCAAGAGCCTGGAAGAAGTTGATTGGGAGATAGTAAGACTAGAGACAAACCTCTTTCCGCTGGTCCAATTGACTGGCATGGTGGCTCGATGAATGCCTTACCTCTTGGATAGGGTAGCTGAGCCTGAGCCACGAGAAAGAGAGAGAGAGTAATCTCAGATGAGTTATAGGAAATGTGGGATGCTTGAGTTCAACTTCAAGTGGGTCAACTTGGTCAAATCAATTGCTTATAGGTCTTTGTCATTCATCTCATCTCTTGTTTACTCATCCAAATGAAATCCATCCTTCATCACATATATCTGATCCTTCTGGTGGCTCATTTCAGCAATCAAATCACAATCAGTACATTTCTACGAGTTCCAGCAAATATCTCGAAAACGTGGTGGTGGTTCTTTGAGCCCACACAAACTCTTCGTTTGACTGTTGATCGAAAGTGAATATTGCAGGAGCCTGACGGGCATATCATCCTTGGATAATCATATGACATGCAGTGCCACTGAGGATCAAATAAGCCAGTGCAGCATCAGACTGCTTCATCGCGAGAGTTGCATTCGAATGTTTGGGGAGCTTTGCTTTGGATTAAGCAGAGCTCGTCGCTGTGTGCTCCTCGCTAGAATTCCTCAGCTAGAGTGAGAACTGATTGGGAGGAACACAAGCGTTGTATCCCCTTTCTGTCGCTGATGAGGGTCCCTTGTCGAGGCTTCATAGTAGTGCACATTCTCAACTGTAGTCGGGTTTCTTCGTATCACGAATCTATCAAAGGCATCGCCTTACGCAACTCAGCGGAGAATAAATCGCACCCTTCGAAAGGGCATGAGGTCAGCCTTAAAGTTGTCGACAACCGTGCCCGCTGAGACATTCTATGTACATAAGTTGATCGACCTGATAAACCCTTCCCCCTTCAGCTCATTACACATAGTCTTCTGCACCCCTAGTACCTTTGCTATGCTTTGGTTGTCCTTCTCCACCTTACATCGTGATCGCAATCAACTCTCCGCGGGGCCCGGTCGCTGGACAGCGGGGAGTGGTCGAGTTTATTTGTATATAAATGCTGGTTGGGTCGTCGCACCTCTCGTAGATCATGCTGGCTGCGCTTGGGAACCAATTCGCACACTCTATGCACACGCTACTGTAAACTCTCCCCTGACGAAATTGGGAGAGTAGATCGAGACCACCTTTCGATTTGGACGAGTTTACTGCGACTCCAAGATTACGGAGAAAAAATTGAACAGAACACTAGCTCCACATCTCCACCAGTACTTTCCATTAAGCCATCAAAATCAGCCGGCTGAATCGAATTCCCTTTCATTCCCCTCAAATGACTACTGAGGCAAACATAAAAATGGTAAGCTCTCCTAAGCTCTCTGTCCACACATTTAAACCACTCAAGTCTCATCATACGTTCATTTTTCTCACTTTCAATCCTTATTTATCTGCAGTGTAGCTTGATGTCACCAACCGATATGAATCCCAACTTTGTATTCCCTGCGATCGAGTCCAGGAAGCCTACTCAAGCATCCTCTCATCAACGAGCAAGTCTTCCAGCTATAGCTCGTAGATTGAGCGCTTCAATCGTCTCTACCCCTGCTAAAGCGTTGGATAAAGTTGAACAGAACTTAAAACAAGTCAAGGAAATCGTTGATCCTAGACGACCAGCCGACATTCAAAACACTCCAAAACATCGCAGGTTTGCTTCAGGTTCAATCCTAGCCTCATCAACACCAAACGTTAGGGCTTCTATCAATCGTCGATTTTCTCGACAACAGCATCAACGCTCCGAATGTAATGATGGAATCTTAAAGTCTTTTGTAGTTCTTACTCCAGTACCATCCTCTCCCAAATTCTTGGGAAGGGGTCTCTATGCCAACATTCCAACAAACAGTGATGGATTCTCTGGCGATCTACCAGATTTCAAGTCGCATACCGTTTTACGTAAACCTAGTGGTCAATTCAACTATCCAGTCCATTGTACACCGATCCCGTCATCCGAAGCGACCCCAATACCTGGTGCATCGATATCAAAGCCTCCATTACCACCCAAGAGCCTCGAGCTTCAACCGAAAATCACCCCGGTTCAACCTCCAGAAAATGTGGAACTAAAGATCGAAAACCTACAAATCGAACCCCTCGGCTCACGCAAGGTTACACCTTCTCCACCTATAAAAACCCGTTCAGTCTCACCATCTTCAGTCAATGATCAAGAAGAAAGTTATCAACCACTTCGATACCGACCACCAGGTGCACGTCGACCTGATTTGATACTCAAAGTGTCGAGCTTCAGACCTCATACAGCACAAGGGATATTAGAAAGGATGAATGGCAATCAAGGAAAGGATGATCGAAAGCGACTTTCTACAGTTTCTAGTGTTTATTCATCGGATTGGAGAGAAGATATTATGTCAGAATATGAAGATCAAAATGAAACCAGCTCAATACCTTCATCTGGTTCAATCTTTCCAAGTTCTTCTTCACATTGCGTTCCTGATCAAATCGATTCGATTTACGAGATTGATGAATCAGTAGAAAAGAAAAAACAAAAAGAATTGATGAATTCTTTAGAATTAGAATTAGGAGAAATTTATCATCTTAAAGAGGTCACTGATTAAGGACATTCAATTATATTGTGATTTTGATTTCATTTGTCTAGTTTTTGGAAAACAAATTTTTACTTGGATTGTCTTGAGAGATATCATTTGGATTTACCATTCTTTTTTTTAAAAAACAGTTTCATTTCTTGATTTCTTTACCCTACTTCTGCTTTATACATAATCTCATTTTCTTGTGTTTAAAAAGAAACTTTCACTAAAATTTTGAAGAAAAACTTGAATAGATTACCCATTCTTAAAAACATAGCCTCCTTTGATCTTTGTCTTCTTATAAATGATGTCACCTATATCACACTGTGCAGATGTAGTATTTTTCCACCATGCAAAATGATTAAAATTAATGTCAAAATGATTAAAAATGCTGTGTTAATGCATAAAAATGCACTACTAATGCACCATTCATGTGGAAAAATGCAGCATCAATGCAGTAAAATGCAGTGTTAATGCACACACAAAATGAATTCAGAATTCTACCTTTTTCAATTTTGTTTGTCCTTCAGGTCAATCATTTTTCACTTGGGAAAAATACTACATCTGCCCAGTGTCACATATCTGTTCATCATTGACTTCTCTATATAATAATCTGTATTTTTACAAAAGAATTGATTCGCCTGCTGGACAATGTGAGAAACCCCTCAGTTTCATTGTACTTGAGTTATTCAGTTGATTTTTTTAGCAACTCGGATACAGTCTCTTTTAACTGATGTGAAGACTATAGATGCATTTGGTCCTGGATTACAACAAGAGAGATGTTGAAATCACTCTAGTTGACATGAGAGGAGGGTGTTCTCCTCAGACTCAGCATTTATCATTTGAAGCACCACATGAATTTCACGTTTTCAAAAAAGAACTCTTCATCTTGAAGATCAGTTGAGTCCAGTTCTGGCTTATCAGCTTATGTAGATGAGACCGCACTGATCAAAGGAAGGATACATAAGCTCGATGAAGAAAAATGAGACAAATCAAGTGTGAGTTCAACAAAGACAAATAAAAATAATGAAGAATGTCATAGAGCTTTGCATATAGAGAACCAAAACAATGATTTTGACCAGTTTGGAATGAGAATGTATGAAATGGTACACCCATCACGGATGTCATGAAAGGTACTCTGCAAATGATATATGTGTGAATGTGATTATTTTTGCAAAGAAACAATTCAATGTCCCTTCAGCATTTTCCAGCTAGAGATAAAACCAGATAATACTGGATAAGCCAAGACAGTGGTTGGGTTTATGCGCATCAAGTATGCCAGAACTTGTTCAGGTGAATCCCATGTTTCACATTCAAAAAGTGGAATTCTTAACAAGTGGACAACTTCCACAAGATCCACATCTTTCCAACCAGCCATGTAATTCTTCAAGAATTCCCATCCTTCACTCAATACCCCATCATGGTTTTGGATTCCTTCAAGATCTTTTGTTTCTATGATGAATCCAAGCAATGAGGGTATCAATTTCAATTTGGCTCGACGTAGTGCCCTTCTTAGATCAGTTGTTTGAATGCCAATATCACTGTGGTCCTTGAGTCTCTCTGTCAATTCAGCTATCATCTTATCGTACCATACCTCAATGTCTATCACAATCCTACCACATGCCCAAAGTTCTTTTTTCCCCAGGCTTACCCATCTTGCTACATCCTTTGAATTGCCCAAAGGATAGATGATCTTATCATCATTTGAAATCATCACTTCCTTTGCATCAAATTTGGATGGGTGCAAATTTGTTTCCTCCCTTATGGTTGTTCCTGTAGGTTCTTTCTCTGCTTGGGCCTCTCTCCCTTGTATGCATTGAAATCTGGATGAAGATGAGTCAACCACTGGATAAAATTGGTATTTCATGGGTCTATCCAGGTTTGGTTCATGGGATGTGAAACCTTGGTTTGGTGTCACACCTAAAGCATAATATCTGTGTAAATTATGAGTCACAACTTCACCATTGGGCAGAGTGCTTGTGAAAGATCCTTGAGGATGATGTGTTGCTGTTTTGTGTCTAAGAGCTTGAAGTTCACATCTTTCACAGGTAATTGCTTTGTGTTGAATTTGTGATTGGTCTTCCATAGCCTGTTGGAATTGCACACTTGGGGCCTCAATGTACATATTGACATGGTTCTTGAGTCTGGAGGGTGTTTTTTCCTTGGATGGGTGTTTGAAAACTGGATTCTTTTTGATTCCAAAGGCTGCTGGGAAGGATGTTTTAGTTGGAGATGCATGTCTGGTAGTGATTCCAGATGGTGGGGCAAGTGTTAATGATAAGGAGACCATGTGATCATGTTGTGGTGTCTTCCTGGGATCTGATGTTGATGTCCCTAATCTCAATGTAGTATCCAAACTTTCATCAAGAACCCCAGGTTTTGAAAGGACAGAGGATATTGTGATGAACAGAAAGCTTGAGGGGAAGTGAAAGTGAAAGTACATTGGTGCTTGATGTTGGTATGATGTGGAAATACTTATAGAAATCTTCACTGAATGATCCAAAAAAAGGAATAGAGACTACACTGAGCTTCAAACCTAGAAAATGATACTGAAAATTGAGTTATAAAGGGTCTTGCAAGAGAGAACTGAAGCACTTTCAACAGTGTCTTATTAATCATTGGTGTGTAGATTTTTCTTGCAAGAAAATTTCAGAATAAGATTCTGCATCAAGTCTCAAGTATGGGCCAACAAAGGGTGATCCATGAAGAGTTTCAAGTTCTTTTACTCTACTTTACAACCCTTCTGACAATGGATTTCACTTCAAACATTTCACAGCTTCCTGTAAGCTTTATACTAAGGCTATGTCAATGGAATAGCCCTGACCATTCATAACTATTTTATGGAAACTGTCACTGACTACCCAAACTGGGTCACCTGAGTCTCACATCAATAGTCCCGTCAGTTCTGGGACTTTGGGGTGTTGTCCAAGTGTGGCAAGGCACCTGCTTGGCCCTGAGCAGCTTGGGTCCAGTGATTCTAGGGGTGTCACTCAGCCTAATGATCTCATAGCTGGTACATAGCCCTATCATATTCCCTAAATATCAACTCTATATTCTGAAGGCTCTAGACCTAGGATCAATTATGAGAACCTGGAGGTTGTTTCATGATATGAGTATAAGTAACACAGCCACTATATCAGGGGGTTTCAAGTCAAGAAATTTACGGTATTTTACAGTCCAGTTGTCCAATGTTGCAAAATATACTGTAAATGTAAAAAAATCAGAACACCCAAAAGGTGTCCCAAATGCTGTTGACTGTACATTTGCAGAAAATAAAACACTGTAAAATTTAAAAAACTTGTCTGTTTTTTAAAAAGTAAAAACTTGTCCGTTTTTCAAAAAAAATCACAAAAAATTTCTGACTTGAAATCCCCTAATACAGGATTGTGATACTGTAGTATAGTAGTGAGTATTCATTACTTTTGTCATCCCTGAGCCCTGTGTACAGGACCACAGACTAACAAACACACATGTAAATATATGTAATACATTGTAAATATATGAACCTTGTCTAAAACCATGAGAATTACAACTCATGGCTGAATTTCAAGAGTCACTTAAGCAACAAGACGTACTATGATTTAACTAGTAATAGTAATCCTAACCCAAACCTAACTCAAAGAAAAGCAAACCTAAGCACCAACCACAAGTTGACGCCTAGGTCTGGAATATATAAAGTCATCTTCTTGCCACTCTAGAAGAAGAACCAACTTATTACCATTCCACAATTCCACAATTCCACATCACAACTTACTTGATTCTTACCAAGAGCATTGAGTGAAGTGATTTTATTGTATTTGATCTTATAGTTCTACAACTTTCCTCAAGCCCTTGTAAGCTTTAAAGTGGGGCTTTTAAACTAGTGGGACTATATAGTTATAAAACCAAGCTTTAGAATTGCATAGGATACCTCCTGAGTTGAGTGTAAAGTATCTGGCGGAACCTTTGATCAATCAGAGTGTAAAGTTCTGCAGGCTCTATTACCAACAGAGCTCTTGAGTAAGCTCCTTTGAAGGACTACTCTCCCACCCCCCTGGCATTAAATCCTTTCTTTAGAGGTCAACTAACCAAAGTCTTCACTTGTGTGTACCAAGTGAAAACCTAGTCAACCATTATTGTATCCGCATTTCACCTGTTTTAGTGAAGAGTCAGCCAAACAGTAGCTGACCCCTCACAACTTTACTATGAATAGTATTGTAACAGTTTCAAATATACTTTACTTGAGGATTGGACCAGCTGTAATATCTTGAGTGAGTTTAGTATTGAGAACTGCAGTATCATACTACAGTATATCATTGCTTTAGCAGTATCAGAGTATTGGTACCAAATTTAATTGACCACACTCCTTGATTACCATCGATTGCATCATGTTTCATAAATGTCCTCCTCTGATAATCCTGGAGACTCTTCAAGGGTAAAACCAAATCCACACCCCACTTTCCTCTATCACTGTTCATCACAAGTTGGCTTGATTCAAGCTTCTAGCCTTGAAATGTCTCAAGGCACATCAGATACTTCACCAAACTCCCAGACTATAACAATTGAATCAAGGCAAGGATCAGCTTTGGTATTGAGCAATAACAACATAGATGCTCAACATACTTCAGAGGTTCAGAGAAAAAATGTGGTACAGAAGCAAGGAACTAGAGAACAAATACCAGGTCCCAAACATGCAAAACAAGAAACTCAGGTGAGAAATAGTTCTTGAACTCGATTCATTCAGGATGTACTGACCCTTCTGATTTGATTCTTCAAATAAAGGTAAGACTAATTTGTGAATCAATCTTCCTGCCTAACAGTATCAATCTTCCTCAAGATTCTGACATAGAAAACTCAAACGTTCAACCTTATTCCAGCACTCCAAAACCTACCTTTGATTTTCTTGCTATATTTCTCATCTTTTCAGACATGGTCTGGTAAGAATTGGACATCTACGTATAGAAGAGCTTTTTTAAAATTGAAGATGATTCTATTAAAGCTGGTTCCGGTTCCTGTATGACATTGACAACACACAAGTGGCAGGAGGTTTCATGAAGAAATTATATTTTGTAGTAACGTAAGAATGAAGATACAAGATCAAAAACAATGTTCCCATGATGATTTCATTGTATGAACGGATCCACTAGATCGATACAACCTTCTTTTGTATCTTATCTGAATCTTTGGATAACACTGCCATCACTCTTACCTCAGCGCTTCTTCTTACTGGTAAATCTTTATCACCTGGTCCTTTGAATGATGCATGAGGTAAGGTCATGTGTCCTGCTGCAGCACTGTCATATTGTACAAACATGGCCACCTCGTCTGTCTCTTGATTACTAAGCCAATACCATTGATTATTTGGGTTATAACGCCATTGCATAGAAGCGGCCCTTCCAGGACCTCGCGGGTTGTACGCCTGTGGATCTTTTTCTATGTCTACAGATCTCCAATCACATAGTGCCAGTGGATCCTTTTTGATGACTTGAAGAGGCCTCCAGATATTGATGATGACAACTTTATTGGCTTCATCCTGAGCAAGAGTCTTAAACCTTTCTGCTTCTTTGTTATCCGATCCAAGAGCAACATCAATAGCATTCAATATGGCACGTTGTGCACCTTCCGGGGAGAAATCAGCATGTACACTGGGCACAGGTGCTCTACTGCGACCTATATCATCCAAATTGGCCTCTCGATCTCGAAGCCGCGATTCGAAGGCAACAACTGCATCGGCATTGGTCCTGTGCAACATCACTCACATCAGAACACAGTCATGAGCGAATGATTCTGTATGACATCCTCACATCTTCTTTACCAGCTCTTCAGCAGCTGGCCTGAGCAATTCACCATACTGATGGTCATTCTTACAATCTTCAAGCCCTATGACTTTGTCCTTGACGTAAGTAAATCCGTGTAAGTCCAATTTGAATTGATCCTCGACCCCGCGAACGTCATGGACCAAAACCTCTTTTATAACTTGTACTCCTTTTAAATACTGCATGTGTGCATTTCGTCCTTGGTCTCTTGCTGGGCTAAATTCTAGGGATACACTCGGGTCAAGATATCTCAACGTGCTTTTGACATTCAAGACTTCTGATGATTGATGTCGCGAGAAGTCAAGGTTAGAATAAATTGAAGTTAATATCGAAGGATCCAAGTAAAATTTACGAACCACCTGGAACCAGACCAGTAGGCACTGCAATGAGGCAGCGCAGTACAAGATGTAAGGCTGCCGAAACAGTGATTAAATTTATGCGAAGATTCATTTGAACGCGAGATTGATTGATTAATGAGATAAAGTAAAGAAAATTTATTTTCAAAAACGTTGAATGATAAAGAATATTACGAAAAGCTTGCAAAAAAATGAGAGTGATTAGCTATTTTTGATAATTAGGGTCAGGCTCGTGATTTATGAATTTGATGATACCAGTCAATTGACATAATCTCAGCCTCATTTATACCTACCTCACAACACAAAAGCATCAGCTACGAAGATTTGTGAAACCAGCGGGCAAGTCGCACTTGACTTGTTAATTAGTCCCTCGCTCCTTGTGATGACCTCCATCCCTAAGTTCTCACGGTGACTCGAGGAGGAAGGGACTTAGTTGGGTTTGCAGGCAAGTAGGGAACAAGGAAAACTGATTTTAAATTCAGACTTGTATGGATGATTTTGCCTAAAGGAGTCTACGTAAAGAACTATCAGTATATTTGATGAATAACATTTTACAAAATAAGTGGCTTTAACAACCACAAACTTGAAAGTTATATACAAACAATACATTTTGAAACCAAAGAAAATCTATTTCACGTCTGTTCTTTATGACGTTATCTATTTTTCCGATTAATTCCCTCACAACAATAGCTCAGATAGCTCAACACCAAAGGTTAATGAAACCAGCGGGAAAGTAGGTAACGAAAAACGCGGGTTTCGATAAAACTAGACTTGTATGAGTGATTTCACTTAAAGGTTTTCATTTGAAGGACCATCAGTACATTTGATGAATATCTTTTTAAAATAGGTTATTTATCAACCGCAGACTTGAGTTAGAAATAAACAGCTTATATAACAGTACGTTTTGAAACAAAACACAATCGGTTTCGTGTCTTTTCTTTGATTCTGACCTCAACCTTATCTATTTTCCCGATGACTTACCCCACAACCCACCAAAGACTGGTGAAACCAGCGGGGAAGTAGGGAACAAGAATTGCACTTTTGATAAATCCAGACTTGTACGAATTATCTTATGACATCACAATACAAATACATACTCGCCAGAGATGTATGAAACCAGCGGGAAAGCAGGGAACAAGAAACACAAGTTTCAATGAATCCTGACTTTTATGGACGATTTTACCTAAAGAACCATCAGAACATTTGGTGAATACCATTTTGAAAATTAGTTGCTAATCAACCGCATACTTGAGTGGTAATTCAACACATCACGTGACTAAACGTTATACAATCAGAATCTGTTTCACGCCCTCTCTTTGATTGCACCATTCACATCGTGCGGATTCTGCTTTTCCAATCACGAAGACGTCTTGTTTTCTTGAGCAGTGTCCTGCTTCCGAATCTGAAAAGCGGAAAAGATAAATTTATGTGCTCTCTCCTTACAACACAATCCTTCTTGCTAAAAGTTACTAAATCTGTCTGGTAAGATGGAGGCAATGCGTGGTTCAGAAAAATATCCGCTGCATCCTCCTATGGCAATTGACTCGACTGTTTCCCGATTCGGTGCCTTTTCAGGGTCGCGCACAATGTGAGGAGAGTGGACCAGAGTGGAACGCTCGGATTTTTGGATCCGAGGGATGATTCAGTGATTGTAGTTGGCACGGTGGTAGTTGGAATGAGTTTTAACTTAGGGAGTCTGAGCTGGCCAAGGGTAGATCTATAAGCGTAAAGACAAGAAAGTTTTCAGCAGCTGTCTTCTAGATTTATCTGTTTGATCTTATTGGTAAACAAGCTAGTTGATGGTTTTTGAAGCAAATCTGTCTTTGTGATCTTTGCTCTTTACTATTTCTAAGTATTTTCTGATGTTTTGCCCCAATGGGGGTTTAAAAGTGATTTGGTTGACTGAAAATGGTTGGTCAAGGTCAAAATTTACTTGGTCTATATACCATACAGGCCTTTTACTAGGTCCAGTGGCTTGTTATTTTGCCCACACAGTTTTGGTGAAAACTTGAGAATAACTCCAGATATAGATGATCTGAGTTGAGGGTCCCACTCGGAAGCAGCAGGACTTCAATTTCCCCAGGTAGAATTTGGAAAGTCTTCTGCTGCAAAACTTTTTCATTGAGTCCTTTTTTCCCCTATTAAATCTCATGACTTCTCATGCCAGGAGAGCCACATTGCGCGTAGGTCCCTACGCAGGCCTGAGAGTTTTACCGCCTGAAAGTGACTTTGTTAAGTTAAAAAAATCATCTTATTGGAGTCCATTTAAATCCCATTGAAAAAAGAAAGAAAAACGAAAGAAAAAAGAAAGGAAAAAGAAAGAAAAAAGAAAGAAAAAAGAAAGAAAAAAGAAAGAAAAAAGGAAAAAGAAAGAAAAAAGAGAAAAAAAGACAAAAAAGAAAGAAAAGGAAAGATCATTCAACTTATTATGCTAGATATTTCTACAAACTTACTTCACTTTGCTAATCAAATCATTCAATCTAATTCCTCAAATCAATGTATCATTTTTTTCTTCATCAAGAATTCAAATTCGAACTTTCAAAAAAGGCTTTTAAATCTTCTTTATTAATCTCTAAATCATGATCAGATTTAAGATGACGTTGTACATCATAAACCCGATTAAACCTAACCAAACATTTCTTTCCATTTCGATCATTCAATAAATGATCAGAAGGACAACTAAATCTTCTCTTTGAATGATCTTCATTAGGTTCATATCCCGTTCCGGTCAATAATGAAAGTTGTGTTAATTTCTCAACTCTTGAATTCGTTTTGGATTTCTTCTTCGGCGGTTGGATTTCTTGAACTTTTTCTAGTCTTTGGGTTTGATGGATTGCTAGTTTATGACTCTGTAAAGCTCTAAGCGATTGATAAGATTTACCACATTTTATTGACTCTGTATCAAATTCATCACATTTGAAAGGTTTAGTTGATGAAGGATTGATCGAATGCGATGGATTTGAAGTTGAAGTCAGTTTTTCAACAGATCCTTCTGAATCTGATTCATTTCGTTCAGGATGTATATTTGAAATATGTTCACGTAAAGATTTTTGATTTTTAAATAATTTAGTCCCATCACATTTCCCAAAAAAACATCTAGGTGGATGTAATTCTTTTGTATGAATTTGTAAATCACTCCAAGTTTGAAAACTTCGATCTTGAATCGATTTCTTCATACAATCTTCATGAATACATGTATATCTGAATTCTGAATGAGTTTTTTCATGTTTCTTTAATTTACTTCCTGTTTCAAATGATTTTTTACAATTCTCATGAGTACAGATGTAAGGTTTTGTTCCGGGACTACAGTGGATTTCTGAATGATGGGTTCGAAGTAAATGATGTTTTAAAAATTCTCGATCACAAATTTGACACTGAACTCATATACGCCATCAACCGAAATCAAAATCAAAATTAGTTTCATCTTTCCAAACTTCAGTTCCAATTGATATTTCCAAAAAGAAGTGAAAAAAAACTAACAATGAACTTCGCTTGTCCCTTCTTTCCTTCGTGTATACTTTCTCTATGAACCTTCAAATGTTGTTTTGTCCAAAACCGTTTTGAACAAATATTCGTTTCATCGTCCATTTCTTTCCATCCACATTCAAACGGCTTTGATTCTTCTGGTAAATGCATTCTAATATGAGCTGTTAAATGGGTATCACGTCTATACGTTGCTGGACAATGCGGACAAGCATGAGGTCTCTGTTATCGAAATTCATTGAGTCAGTTGGATTGACCGCATTCAAGATAATTGCAGCAAGAAAACGAATCAAGGGCGATGAACGGTTGACTCACTTCGTTTGTATGACTCCTTTCATGCTCTTTGAGTCTGATAGGTTTAGCATAAGTCCTCGTACAGCCAGTCCAAGTACATTGATACCGTTTTTTGTTCTTCGTTCCGAGATCATTGGCTCGATTATTTGATGTTGAAGTTAAAACTCCTTCTATGATTTGAATAGGATCGTTCGAATTACATTTTTGAGTTAAAACGGATGAATTTGAATCTTCTGATAAAGATCTTTTACGTTTTTGAATTGATTTTGAACTTGGTGATCTGTATGAGCTTTGGGAAGAAGAAGATGGTGATGGTGATGATGAAGTTGAAAAGTGTTGAGAAGTGGTTGAGATTGGGTATAAAACGACAGACATGGTTTCCTTTGCAATGAGGTGTGTTGGCGGTTGATCTGGTTCAAGTTTCGCAAAAATTTAAAACCATGAAACGACTGCGGCTACATATACGCTAGTTACATACATATCACATTCCGCAGCCGATCGATCACATGATGAACCCTTTAACCCCATCTCCTTTCGTAAGATCGAACCTTCATCAAGAACACAATATGGAAACTTCAGCTTAGTACTCTTTCTTTGTATCAACATTCTAAAATATAATTTATTCAATTTCTTAATATCATCACCTTCATCCAATCGGTTTTAATTGTAAAAATAAATCGAAAAGATGTTAGGCAAGTGGTCCAATTCCATTCCAGTTCTACTCAAGATTAATTCAATGCTAATCTGATTTGTTTCCTTTCTTAGTGATCGGATTAACAGGTGGAATCGCATCAGGTATCTCTTGCCCAAGAACTGCTTCTAAATCATGAAGAGAAAATGACATTGACAGTCGATTTTATAAACCTCATTTTGACCAAAAATCAAATCCAATAGGAAAATCAACAGTTTCATCAATTTTAAAATCAAACAAGATACCAATCATAGACTTAGATTTAATTTCCAGACAAGTTGTAGAACCAGGCACGAAATCACTTCAACAAATCCAATCACATTTCTCACATATCCCCAATATAATTAATTCAAATGGTACTCTAAATCGTGAAAAATTAGGTTCAATCATTTTCGCAAATCCAACAGAACGTAAATGGTTAGATAAAACTTTACATCCTAAAATTAGAAGATTAATGTTATTTCAAATTTGTAAACTTTGGTTAATGGGTTCTAAAGTTTGTGTGATTGATTCTCCTTTATTAATTGAAACTGGTATGTGGAAATTTTGTGGTAAAGTTATTTTGGTTTATTGGTAAGTTCTTATTTATCTTTCTTTTTTTTCCAATTCGTGATCAATTAATGCCTTTGTTTTTTTTCTAATTTTTAGTTCAGAAGAAATTCAATTGGAAAGATTAATGTCAAGAAATCAATTAGATAAACCAACAGCACAACAAAAAATTCAATCACAATTACCATTAAAATCAAAACTAATTTATTCTGATTATATTTTAAATAATGATCACGATTTAATTCAATTAGAATCAAAAGTGAAAGATTTAATTCAAAATTTAAATCAAAGTCATTCCAAGTTACTTTGGATTTTAAATTGGTTTTGTTTCCCCTTTACTTTTTTAAATGGATTCTTAACTTTATTGTTTCGTTATTATTCTTTTAAGTCTAAACTTTCATGATCTCTAATAATAATGAAGTCATTCTTGAATTTGATTTGAAAGTTATTCTAACTAATCAGTGCATCCATCAAGTTTAGTGATCAAGCTTTATACTTGTCTGAAGAATCTTAATTGAATGGGCGTAAGGTTTTGTATTGCACAACATATCCAACCATACCATACACCTTGCGGTTCTATCTGTTTATTCTATAAGAGTGGGAATGATGCTAAAATCTGATTGCAGATGGGTTCATGGCTATTGTGAACCCAAACCAAAGAGAATGAAATGTATACTGAGTCCAGAGCGTAATCGTAAGAAAGTGACATGGCTAACAATTTGCAGCAGTTTGTATCTTTGTCTTTTGGCTGACATTCTCTCCCACCTGACTTTTTATCGAATCAATTTCCATCCATCCATCCATCCATCCATCCATTATCATTGAAGAATCTATATCACATTTTCCTGCGACGCACCATGGCCAGTAGGCACGCTAGCCAGCTAAGCGAAAAGATCTGGACCCTGCGCTCATGCGCGTTGGCGAGTTTCCGCTTGTGCAAAGTTTGGGATCTAGTAAGCTTATCGACGTACACGTCACAGGCCTTATTCATGACCGTCTACACACAGTGGAGACACGTCCAGATACTGCGACTTATGCTCTGATCCTCTCCGAGGTGGGAGAGGGCCTTAGTTAAGCTTATGTTCTGATGCGAGGCGCCATGGCCAGTAGGCGCACTACACTCTCCGCTCAGCAAGGTCAAACACTTCCCATCACGCGTTGGATTACATAAGTGTCCGTGTTTTCGCTCCTCAGAGCGCATATAGTTTTTTTTGGCGGGGAAAATTCTTTCAAAAGTCTATTTTTGTTTTTTGCCCCGCCAAAAAAAAAGGGGGCTACTAAAAAGCGCCCGCAAATGAAACCTGAGACCGCCCGCTTTTAGAATCCGGTGGTTACTAAGATTGTTGGACTGAACTGTGGTTCAGTCCCGAGGTCCTGATCTGTGTGATCGTTGGAATCCAATCAAACAGAACCGGGCGGTCTTGAAAGTTATCGAGAAGCCCTCAAAACCTCCCGCTACACACATCTCATCCACCATATTGATCGTTAACTTCAACTGGATTGTTAAGCTCTGCTCAAAAGACACTCAAGGCTCTGAGCTGTTGTGACCATTCAAACAGTTTAATGGGGTTTGATCCCTCACTTGGTCTGGTCAAAGTTTCAAGACTTGCCAAATGAAGAGACTGGCAGACATACGGGCAATTCTAGCTTCATCGAGTCGGAATCTAGGAGGAGGGTGTAAAAGCCTTTTGGTTTGTACTCAGGATCCCTTCCTAACATCAGCCCCACCAGCGAGCCCTATAAATATTGTATGAACTCTAGAGTCTGGTTGCACACAAGTAGATCTCTGGGAGAAGCTCGGCAACTCGGGTGGCAACTTGCTATCCAGGTTGTGAGATGTGTGTACCGGGAGGTTTTGAGGGCTTCTCGATAACTTTCAAGACCGCCCGGTTCTGTTTGATTGGATTCCAACGATCACACAGATCAGGACCTCGGGACTGAACCACAGTTCAGTCCAACAATCTTAGTAACCACCGGATTCTAAAAGCGGGCGGTCTCAGGTTTTATTTGCGGGCGCTTTTTAGTAGCCCCCCAAAAAAAATGCGGCAACTATGTACGCGTACATATGTAGTTTTGAATACCATTGTGCAAAGTTTGAGATGTAGTAAGCTTATCGACGTATCAAGCCTTATTCCCTCATGACCGTCTACACACTCCTTCAGAAGTGGAGTCTGAGATTGGTCGAGATACTGTGGATGATGCTGTGTGCGAATTGGATTTTTGGCTCGCGTCATTCACCATCCACGTGTGCACATGGTGTGATGGGCCATGGCTTATGGTAGGTACAGCGGCGCAGTATTCGAGTCTTAATCCATGTATAGTTCAGACTTCCTGAGCATCAATTCAAGCCGTTTATATGGCCTACTAGTTCTCAAGCAACGTAGGAGGTTACGTAGGATGTTATCTTCATCTCATACCGATCAATCCTGCGACGCGGCAATCGCCAGCGGCACCCGAATATAAAAGGTGACCGTCCTTCTTGACTTTCACATCCCAACCAGCTTTCTGACTGTCCTTTACATTCATCCTTAGACTCGAGTAACTTTTCGAGATATTCATCCGTTCTCCTTTGCCTTACGCTATATTCTTCGGCAGTTATACAGCCTATCTGTTGCCCAGTGTTTCCTAAATTTACAAGCCTGAGCTTTACTCTTTGTCTCACACCACCAGTACACTCACCTACATTACGCATTTTTGACCTGAAGATGAAGTCTATCCGTATCATTGTCCCTTGCGCTCTTATGATTGCCTGTGGATTGGTCGACCTAGGCCACTCTCATCTCAACCCTAATATCAAAGAGACAGTGGCCAAATCAGTAGCCAGAGAAATGGAAGGAGATGTCAATGTCAACAAACCTGTCATCTATGAGGTCCACAATGGTCACCCAGAATATCCTTCATCAAAAATGCTGGAAGAGGTTTATGTAGACAAGAACCACAAAGTGGTACGAACTGCCGAGGGTCACAATCATTTGACCGGTGATGTAGAAAAATTATCGGAGTTTGAGAAAGCACTAAAAAACATCGCAGAACAACAAAATCTGCCTTCCTGGTTGACACATACATTCGAAAAACCTTCCTCGTTAGTCAAATCAGCAGAAAGATACGCAATGAGAATTCTCAATTCAGTGAATGAGATGAGCCCCGAGGATAAACTTGAATTCAACAAGCATTTGGAAAATGTTGGACCCATGCTCGATCATCTCTTCAGCAATGAGAATGACAAATCTCCAGAATTTGGTTTCAAGGAAATAGCAAACAGATTCTTCAAAGAGCTCAACCTCAGTGAGAAGGAAAAACTTCAAGTGAGGAGAGAAATGGCCCGTGGCGGATGGGTTGCCCCCGAAAATCTCCACTTCTTAGAAGACATCATTGATAAGAATCCAGAATCAAAGCATTTGCCTTCCTCAAGATTATGAGACAAACAATGATCCGAATAAATCATGACACTTAATTATCCTGGGATAGATAGATCAACATCAATGCAGGATAATTATGAAAAATAAAATATCTATTGCCACTTCCCTCTTAAAGAAGTTTAAATGATAAGGAGCCATGGTTCACTCTCAATTGTTTTCACCTTATTTTCTGCACCTATTGTTTGCAACCATTGTTTTCCTTTACATATATCTATTTTACTGCAGGATTGGAGCATTGTTACTCATGGATGATAAACCTACACCAAACCCATGCAAGTCTCATCAATCTTCAAAAAGGGTGCATATGAATGATCTCTTGACCTCATAGTCATCTAGATATATGTATTTATTTACTCTCATTAACATTGATTCTTGAGTTGTAGATGGAATTCAGTGACTATTGCACATGATATACTACAATGGAGTTTATTGAACACATATCAGGACCCTGGAAAGGTATAGTGAAGCCTGAGGTCCTGGAAAAGTGGTCAGCTTTTGGCCCAAATTCCTACCAAAGTCCACATGTGACAAATACGGTGCTTTGGGTGTTTTCCAAAACATATGTGACCATATGGGAAAACTTGACCAAGTCCCTCACCAAAGGCCTGCGGCTTGAGCAAGGGAATTGCCGCTGAAAATAGAATCCTTGCCTGAGAAGTAAGCTGCATTGGCTCAAAAACCGCTACATTGAATTCTCCATTTTGTTTCTAAATGAACCATGCTTGATACAAAATACAATGAGCATGGAAAAGGTCCATTTCATATGATACCATTGCAAGCTTCTGATCCAGATCCTGAATTTCTGACATTGTGTGATAAACTATAAGTCTTTCAACATTTCTGAGCAGTGAGCCCACTTAGGGCCTGTATTTCTCAGAAATAGGTGAAAATGACCAATCTTTGATCATATTAGGGGAATTCCAAGAGGAATATGGAGGAGCTTGCAGCTTGAGCACATGTAATGGCTCTTTGCCATTCCTCTTTTGTTTTACACCAAGCTGGGTTTATTGAGCCACAGATAAAATAAACCATTGTACCGGTTTTTGAGCCAATGCAGCCCACTTCTCAGCCTTGAATTTTTCTTAGCAGTAAGTCCCTTCCTCAAGCCTCAGGCCTTTGGCAAGGGCCTCTAGTTGAGTTTGCCAGATGGGAAGCTTTTTAGCTTGCTAGATAAGTAGATGTCACACATTGATTTTCAGATAAACCCAATTGAATAAACCTGGCCAATCCTAACTTGAGTAAAAATAGGGTAGATTCTTGGACCTTGTCCCTGATGCACAAAAAACAGTCTATGTCTTTCCTTGCTCCAGATGATCAGACTTTGTATTGATGAAGGGTAATGGCTACTTTTTGCCAATGAAAAGATGGACCAAGGCAATATACAAATAAATAACAGAAACAAAGCTGTCCAAAGAGTCTCTTTGGACACATTCACTTTGATTAGCCCTGTTTTTCTCCAAATGCTTTAGTTAATATCATATTTCCTTGCTTGCTATGTACATATCTTCAAATCATTTTCTTAGCTCTACTACAGGTCTTTTCAGTTTTCATGCAACTGTACCAAATGTTTGACCATATGATTGACCTGAATATAATTCATTTTTTTCTTTGGCCATCCATGTTTATTTCTTGATTGAAGGAAGAGCAAAGTTTCAAATCGGTTTGCTCTTTCCTACTTCTTTGTTTCTGCATCTCTTTTGGTGTAGTCAATTTCTACATATCTCTTGTCTCTTGCAGAAAGAAGACCATTGTTTCTCATTGCCACAAAGCCATTCTTCAAATTGAAGTGAAATATTATACCAACCCTTGTATCATTCACATCAACATCAATCATACCTTGGTCATGACTTGCAAAAACACATCAGTACTCTGAAAAGAAAGCTTGGACAAATCAGTGCAGTCTCACAGACAATAATTGAATGGGGATAAGGTTTAGTATTGCACAACATCCAAATATCATACACCTTGCTATTCTATCCGTTTATTCTATGAGAGTGGTGATGCTAAAACACATGACGAGCTAATTCAAATCAGACAAAAATAATCAAAAGTATGTAAACAAGATAAAATATTAAAAACTATGCTGAGTGGGGATGATAACTAATTATGCATTGAGAGAGAGATATATAAACAAGGTGAAAGATATTGAGGGTGGAATCAAATGATAATAATACAATATAAGCAAGAAGATAAATTATAAGACAAAAAGTATGACTGCAGAATACATTGAATTCGGTTTGTGTTGAAGAGAGGAGATGATTTTCAAGCTGAAGAAGGCTTGTGTGCTTGAACTGATTTGCGACCAGCAATCACTTCATCTTCAACTTTTCGGGCCCAGGCTTCTGATTCTTGACGTTCAAAGCCGGGTATAGTTCCACGAATAACTGCGTCGGGTTGTTTGATCGCAAATGGGTTGATAGCTATCGTACACCCAAACCAAAGAGAACCGAAGCATGAGTAAAACCAAGGGTGATCTGAAGAAAACGAGATTACTAACAAGTCGCATCAATGTTCGCCAAACTATGGTTCACAAAACGATGATTTGATTCATCGGCCCTGACTGCATACAAGACATCGATCATCTTTGCATCAGGTAGCAATCTCCAATAATCTTTTGCGATCTGTGGAGCCGGCATATTTTCCCTGCATTGTATGGTTGATTTGTCAGCTTGGGGGACAGACTTGGTACCAGGATGATTGTGAAGAACTTGCCATTCAGGTAACCTCCCAGTCTCAAGTTCACGGATGGCAAGTGAGTAAGTCACCACCGCTTCCTCCTCTAGTATGCCTACAAATCTGTGAGCTGCGCGTGGAGAGACCATGTAGGAAAGAAAGAACAAGTTGGCGAAGACACTGTTGACAAACAAAGTAAGGGATCTGATCATGGGTCAGTCTTGTATATAAACAGTCACAATGATGCTTCTAGTCTGTCGTCAGCACGTACCCTTGAGCACCCAAGACCATGGCACGAAAGATGATTCCAGGCTGTCTGATCTTCATAAATGTCAAAAGATGCATCTAACCCATAGTAAAACCAATCAGCAACCAAATTAGAGACGAAAAATTTCTTAGTACAGAACTACATACTCTTTCGTTTTCAGCCTCTTCTAACAGAGTCCTGATCCAGCCACCATCTCGACCGGACATTCGAAGTGATTTAAAGTGACGCACTGTGTCGTAAAGAAAGATCGAAATCTTGTCAAAACAACACTACCGGTCTTTGTAGCGGGATTCAACTCACACATCGCTGCCACCATTCCTGGAACACCAGCAATACTTTCTAGAAAAAGGATTCTAGCCCTAGAGAAGGATGATCGAAAAGTTAACAGATACTCCAAAGGATGAAAACAAAATGCTGGCTTACATCCATTGTTGAGGTGTCCTGAGTGTGATTAGCGAATCGTAAAAGGAGAAAAGAATGCGATCGAAGTCAATCAGCGTTCATCATATCAAGTAATCAATGGTTTCACGCTGAGAAGTTTGAAACCTTTGATGATATGTCTATGAAAACTGGAGCTCGTGAGGCACAATGATGTAGGTTTTGACACTCACATCACTAGACCAGCTTTCCTCATCTCACTCAAACTTTTACCGCTGTTTTCCTGGTGTTCGATCGGATGTTTGTAACGAGTAGCAGTATCAAACCCGAATCTGATAAGTTTTACTAAGCCAGCCACAATTCGATCGGAGATATCTTTGGGTTCATGTCGAACGACCTATGTAGGTAGAAATCCAACACGAGTCGAAGGCAGGATAACAACGATATATCAGCGAAACTACTCAAGTCACTGGAGGACTATATGCTGTAAGAGGGCGCATATATCCAGACCAAGCCACCTCATAGTAGATTTGATTAAAAAGTCAAATGGAAATTCAATTTTATTGTTTACCTTGACTTGCTTTAATTCATCAGGTTCGTAAACCGGATGAAATAAACACCAGTCTTCATGCGCTCGAGATGGGTCAGGTTTGGTATCGACAGTTGACTGAGCAGAGGATTTAAAAGCGGGTGAATCTGTGTGTGATCGGGAATACATATAAAAGGTTAGAATTGAGGTTTCGGGAAGATTAGATGTAAAAAGATTAGCAAGAAGGTTGACAAGCCAACCTTTGAAATGGACTGAAGTGTTGATAGCTTGATTCTTTTGATCCAGGTCAGAACTTGCTACGGATGAAGTTGAGATGAATAAGCGATTGGAAAGAGAAGTATATGTTAAATGTAAAGGTCGACTTGAGTTGTGAAGTATCAAACCACGAGATTGTCGAAGGAGACGAGAAGAAGGTCGAATGAGTGTTGAGAACATTTCTTTTACCGTTCTCTACTCTCTGGGGTTATTATCCTTGGAAATCGGTCAAAAGTGTAGAAAATATATTTGGATGATGGAAAAAGGCAAGTTGATGGTTTGAAACGAGATGTGCACCGCGCACTCCACTCTGACTCGACTCTCTACATCTTCACTTTCGCTTGAGGTCCCGGCGAGGCCAGCCGGTCCTGGTATGTTTGTCATACAGTATTGTTCAAAAGCATCAATCTCTGGGAACATATTCATCATTCATGACACTGGCTAGGACCCCGGAGAGCTCCTGTAGAGGTGCATGATTATTTTCTTATGTTTGCTGTGAATTGCTCTGTTTTCACAGCATCTATGTACACCGCGTTAAAAACTCTTCACAATTGTGTAGGTATGAATTTCACAGTTAACAAAGTGCTTTGCTCCTGGCCAGGCATTGTTGAGGGAGGAGCAAGGGATTTGGTCAAGTTTTCAAGAATGTAAACTGTGGTCAAGTGTGTGTAGTGTAGGATTTTTTTTACATCATGCACCTCAATAAGAGCTCTCCGGGGTCCTCACTGGCTCAATGCAGAAAGATACGAGAAAAAGAAGGTATGCTATATGTTCAACGCATGATCGTAGCAGGTCAAGTATGTACATGATGTGCATACATGGAAAGCAACACAAAAGAGGAAGAATGGGTTCCGTATCCGGGAGCAACATCGAGTTTCGAACACCAGTTTCTTACAACATCAGGAAACAAGAAATCAAAGTAACGAAGTTGTTCTAAAACCTTCAGAAAAGAATTGAGTCAACAGACATCCGACTAGGTTGTAAAAGAAAAGCAATTGAAGGCGAAGAGCTAGATGTCTTTGATGATTGCACCAATAAGATACAAGAAAAGTGATGCTGTAGAAACCTGGCTTGACCTTCACAAACACAGAGAGATTTGCTGGATACAACTTGAAAAACAACTATCTACAGCAAAGGACTGCTTTGCAATGATCTTCGCAATCCATCAAACTTTGAGAAAGCCCCGCCCTCTTCACATACCCGGCATGAGTTTTCTCTACAAATCTTGAATTTCACATTCTTGGATGAAATTGTATGATCATGCAACATATCTTGTACCATAGACCATTCTTTGAGATGTACATACATAGCTTTGCTTTATTCAAATCTTACATTGACCGAGTGCGGCAAATCCTGACGAGTGCTATTGAAACAACTATGTAAAGAACTACACTGTGAGATGCCAGGAGGAAAGTATCAAGACTTTGCCGCTTTATTGTTTCACATTTGTTGTGATCTGATGTAAAAGAATTGGTATCCTTACACATATTTCAAAGTGAATACTAGGTCTTTGAATAAGGAAGTGGCGTGACAGTGAAGCATTTTTTTCACCTCTATGTCACCCCACACCTATTTTTCTCATTTCACCGCACAAGAGGAAAGCTCACTGGTTGTAGGTTTTTGGGTTTGCAAAAAGCTGTAGAAAAAAACACTGTTTGCCCCTTGCCGGTGAAAAAGGGTGAAAAAAGTCCGCAATCCAACCCTAAGTTTGGCGAACACTCATAGCAATTGTCTAGCAGAAAGAGAAACCAAAAGATCACAAAATCGGGATTGTTCTCTCTGAAAGGCCAGTGTAGTTCAACTTGATGCGGGATTATCTCAAAGATACTAAAAATTGAACTTATTCTCTTGACTATTTCCCCGTTTTTTCAAAGCTAGGATATACTGGTAAGTGACACTCATCTTCTGCTACTAAGTGGAGCTATAGTTTTCCTTTGCCGTGAAAAGTATATGTTACATGATGTAATCAAGTTGTTGAAAAAGCTATCCTAAGTTTCCTCGGCAATCTGCCGAGCTGATTGTTAAGGACAAACTTGAAAAAGCTTGGGCAGATGAATTGTACTCACAGCCTCACTCTTGAAGCCGGAAGACAGGAAGACCGCCTCGAAGCCGGGTGTCAGGACTGGTGACCAGGCTTGCCGAAGATCCTCAAGGTAAATCGCACCAAGGAGCCTATGTCCACTATCGGACCACCCGCCAATGATGGCTATGATGACAACCCGAGGAATTTCCCTCCAAGCGGCAGTCTCAGTTCGACTGCGCCACGTTGGAACAGAAGGTCAGACTTGTGGGAGGACGTATGTAATTGAGTTCGGCGCGCGATAGTTTCGGAGGAATGTACGAGGAGCGGAAGTGATTGTGGCAATGCACTCATCAAAGAGCCTTTCTCTAATGTTTGTGATTTTGTCAACCTTGAAATTATACTGGAAACTTGATCTCTTACCAGTTAGAGTCTCAGTATATATGGAGAAAACCCCCCTTTCTTTACAAAGACTGTGCGGAAAGACTGCAGAAGAGTGGACCAATCATCTTCAGCAAAATTGACAACGTTCGATGCGATCACACTTATGTACGACAATATCATTAACTTCCTAATCAAGTCACATATATGATACATAGTCTTGTCTGAGGAGATTCCCTTCGATTGGAAGAATTCAAAATATTGATTCCAGAGGCTCTCCATGTCCAGTTCTTCACATCGCTCCAGAATGTTGGTTATATGCATGATATTTTTTCTAAACCGAATCTTTACCAGGTCTACCATATCAAGGAGGTCCGAAGTTCGCCGAACACAATGTGGTTTTTCGAGTGACCCGTTGAGAGATGGTCATCATTCACCAGTTTTAATCAAACGAACACTTTCATCAAGACCTACTCTCAGACGGGCAAATAGCATTGCTCGTTTTATTCGTGATAGTGACCCAGATCAGATCAAATGTGATCAAGTGTTGCTAGAGAAGCAAGAATCAATGAATCATAAAGGTGGCAATGATATACTACACTTCCGCGTCCCTTCCGATGAAGAATGGTCAAAGGATTCACGTTCTAGCCCTGATAGTAGGGATAGAGGTATAGAAATGAAAACTATTCATCCATTACATCCATATCCGACATCGAAACCAAAACCCAAAGTAGGACTTTTTGGCAAAATTAAAAATTTAGGAAAAAGTATCAAACGTTCATTGAAGGATGTTGGAAGTTTTTTGTTAAGCTGCATCTTGAATATATTCAGAAAAAAAGGTCAGAAAAAAATCCTTTCCTACCTCACATCTAGGATGTCCACAATTTTTTAGTTTTGATTCTAACTTTGTGTCTGAACATATTCTTTCGGACGGATGCAGACGGTGCTAGCAATCTGAAAACCAGTGAAACAGGCATATATTTGTCAGGTGAGGTTGAAAATGATGACCTTTGGAGATATATAAAGAAAGCAAAAAGGCTGATGGAGATGATTCCTGGAAATTCGACACCACTTACAAATTCATTGGAAGAAGATTCAGATCTGGGTGAGTAGTCAAGTGTTTGTACCAAAATGAAACCAGGGAGATTTAGCTAACCAGAAACTTTGTGTGATTTCAAACTTCCTGGCCGTAGAACATTTTGAACCGTTTGAAGCCCTCAAACTTCTCGCTTGGGAGCTCGTGGTTAATCCATGTAAACAAGACCACATTGTGGGAGACTTATTTGGTCAGGGAGAACCTGAACAATGGAATCCATTTTTCAAGAGACTCATAGGTGACCCTGGGACCAAGAAGTTAAAAGAAATCTTCGTCACTCAAATGGATAATTTGAAAGTTTCGGATCCTACTTCACTGGCTGAGAAATACCCAGGTGGTTGGGATGAATTTGTTCAAACCTTAACTTCTCCAGAACAAAAAGAGGCAGTTGAAGAATTTCAAATTAAACTTAAAGCAACTTTAGAAAGGATTCCTGAATCCAAAAGAATCAATATTATAATATTTGCAAAACAATATCGCAAGGAAAGACTTGGAGGTGCTGAGAACAAGTCAGGTTTGGTCAACCCTCAACACTCGTCAAACACGGATAACTTGAAGATCTAGAAGGATGAAATTCAGCGGAGCCACACATTAAATCAATGATTCATGAAGGGAATCCCTTCCATGTTTCTAGAAAACAAACACTCAACCACACCTTGGGTAAAATCTATAACACTCAAGCACCATTCAAGCACCTGAGTTTATACACTGTTCAATTCTTTCTTTCTTTCTTTTAATCTACTCCTGGTGAGAAGTTTCTATTTGTATATTGATGTGCATGAAACATTGCATATAAGGACATATCTTTGTAAACAACTGTTTGATGTATCAAGAGCTGCGCTACCTACACATTTGATATGGTAGTACTAGCATCTAAGATGGAGAAGGGACAGTTAGGATATTTCCAAATAAAATGCTAGGTTTCTGTGTAATTGAAAAAAATGTTTCACTTGGGAATCCATTTTTCAACAGTCTATCTCAGAAATCTTATCACTCTGAAGTCAATGCTACCCCCTGGCACTAAGACGAGGTTAGACACATAGCACATTGCACCTACACATTGATTATCTTTGGTGGTCACCACAGGTATGTATTTGACTTCAAAATTGTTGAGATTTGATTGACACAAGCATTTAAAATGTCGTCAGCAGAATATGTTGGTACCCAATCTACCGTGATTGATTAACTATTATGATGCTTATCTGCCCTTTACTTGTCTTCTTTCCCTCATCTGCAAAAAGAAGACAGTAAGTTGACCAATTTCTTCATAACAGTTTTCCTTTGTCTAAACCACAATCTAACCTTGATGTTCTTGTCTTAGGTTGTGTCACATTACACTAAGATAAAAATCTGAGTTATTCTACCTTTCTTGTTCACTTCAGGTATTCAGTTTTTTCCTGATCTGTGAGAAGAAGACATTTGTGTCACATTCCATTTAGATAAGAATCTGAATTACGTACTTTTCTTGTTCAATTTAGCCCCTATTCCAAGGTTTTCACATAATTTGATTGGATGAGATCCAATGGGTTCTCTCAAATGTCAGAATCATTTCAGAAAAGCTTGATGGATTTTGTGCGCAAAACTTGAGCAAAGTGGTGGGGAAGATGGGGTACAGACAAACTTTCATAAAATGGGATTTACTTGTTGAAATCATGAATGATTTATAATGAAAGACCACAGGGACAATCATCATTTACAATACAACAATATGTCAATGAGAATCTCAACAATGGCTCCCAAACCTGACCTGATTGTAAAAAACTCATCACGGAAACATCCATATCCTTCTAGAGAGATATACCCTTATAGCCCTACACCATATGAAAACATACTCTGACCACTCCTCAATATTCCTACCAAACACATTGAAGCTGCACATACTCAATTAATCTCTGGACAGAGCAGATCCAAGCCCTTTGTCCAGAGCAAATAAAGATACCATTACTGATTTGCACAGGGCAGTCACCTTTGGGTGCTGTACGTCATGACCTGAAGATGGGATACGGAAATGTGATTTTCAAACATTTATAAAAAGCAATTCACAATATCAAAAGCTGCTTATTTGTAGTAAATCACAAGATTATTTACTTCATGAAACTATTGTATAAAAATCTGCAGAATACATATATGAAACATTCATGATGTAGTATTGTAAGAGATATGATAAGAAAAGAAGAGATATGAAGTCCTGATATGGCATCATTATTCCTCAAATGAAGAGTTATGGGGTTGATCATAGAAATGTTCGGTGGTATTAAAGGAATTGATTGTATATGGGCAAAAAATGGGCCTATCAAGAGGCCACATCAGCTGAAATGCTTAGAGAAATGTAGATAAATTCAATAGGCTTACTGTGACTCCGTGCACTGAGATGATTTATGTACTCAAGCCCAAACTGTGTTCAAGAATTTTGAGTCACCTCTTGGATTAATTCTGATAGCGCCTTTGTGATCAAGCTTGCCGGAGTCTTCCGAGACACTTGCTTCGCGCGCATTTAGGGCATCCCGCGCTTTCTGGATGGATTCGCAATGATAAGACAGGAGGAGAAAGTCAGAAGTTTGAACCAAGTTTTGAGTAAGTAATTTATCCTTGCTTACATAGGAAGATCCAAGCGACAAGAAATAGGATCTCGGGGAAGTTGGAGGGCTATTGCTGGCGTGGGCGCGGCTTTGATAAGATTTATACTGATCAGTGCCTTCATCTGAATATGGTTCGTTTTCAACATCATGCCAAGCGGCTGAGTTTGAGAATTGAAATTTGATACGTCAGTGGGGCTATACTGACTGTGAGTCGATGGAGGAAAAGAATGTGTTACAAACGAGCGAAATGTTCCCCTGATTCAATTTCAAACACCCCACCGTGTTTGGGTAACACATTGTTTGAATTGGAACGAAAATCTAAGTTGTTAATAGCAAGTTCAGGTGATGTCAGAGATAAGGATAATAAGAATAATAACTGAAGGACATGTGATACGACATACTTGACTCTCCAGCATCTCTGACCTCTGTTTGCTTTGTTACCAACCCTTTCGAACCGGCTTTTTCTTTTAATAAATGTAAGCAAGAGGCGTGAGTTTTAAGGCCTCATAGTATAGTGGACTATCTATGACCAAGTGCGAGGATGCATTCTATGAAAAGGGAGAATCACTGACGATTGGTTGGATAAGTCGACCTCATAGCCTGTTCCCTTAACCACTTAGGTTCAGTTACTAGTGAAGCGGACAAAGTGTGGGAAGAGGCTCCTTTATGGAGATATGGCTCCGAGTGTTCAAGCAGCTCGGTGAGTGGCCGGCTGATCGTTCCCCGTAGAGCACCACAAAGGAATATCATCGCGAGGTATTTATATGAATGCATAACTCTGAAACGCAAAGGTTTGATGAGCGAGTAATAATAATGATAGTTTGTTAGATATGAAAGATTCGGAAAAACCTCAATTCGAGCCAAATAGTAAAGCTAGATTGTAGGGTAAGAGGGGTAAGGAATCTTCACAACGCAGCATGAGGATGGGAATGGTAAGAGGTGCTTTTATATGCGCCTGTGTTGACCGCGATCTTGTGTCTGCGCGTTAGGAATTGTTATCTCCCCCTCATGTGTGTTCATTTGCCGGTGCAATGGCCGATAGCACGACAAACTTCAACGAGATGGCGAGGTGAAACCAATTGTTCTTGACCAATAAACCTTGCATTCTGGCTTATCAATGGGACTGAATATGATCATTGTCTCGAACGGCCGCTGCAACTCCCAGACGGGAGTTCATGGTGGCGCGCATCCGCTCAAACACGTCGTGCTCGGTATAGTATCATGCAGCCGTAGCCGTGGGAGGCACTGAAATCCTGTTCTAGGCTGTACACGGTTAGATTATCACCTGTCCGTTACTCTTTCCCACTGGTAATCCCGATTTGTATGCTTATCAGGGATAGTATTGTGGGCGCATGTACGCATGTGGTCAAATCTATATACAATATGATACCATATCAGTCTATATCAGTGACCTGATGACACATACTTGGGTACAGAGGATTATCGCGATGAAACACTTCAATAATTCTACCTGGCGCATCACAGTCGAATTCCTCATAGGGACTTTCAACTAAATCGGTGGACGGCTCGGCCGAGAAGGCTTCCTTGAGCTTTCGCGCCCCCTCCGACCTTTGTTTCCATGTACCCCTTACATACAAAACAGCGTATAGCGACTATCACTGTCAGCATCACCTGAGATTGTGCTGCGCTTGGTTCTCCGTGCGTTCACAATATAGAATGCAAGCACATCTTATCTACATAACTGTTTTTACGATAAGGTGATGATCCATTGAGGAAGATCAGGTGTCGCCGAGACTCTAATTGGCTGCGAACGTGACATCATTCCTTTCACTACATTTTGCCGCAGAAAAAGACGAATCTTTGTACAACTCTCTTTTGATCGACATCATGAGCAACTGATCATGTTTACTAAACCAGAAACGTATCTCAAGAAGACAAAATTGCTCTCAAGATATGGCAATGCATAGTTTATCATGTTCTTCTACATGATTATACTCTTAGCCTTGGTTGATAAGAGAAGAATGAGAGCCTAGCGTTATCAATAACCATTCTCATCAATTGCTTCCTAGATTCGAAGATCGACATTGCAATCTGAATCAGTGCTTGCATCAAGAGATCAGTAGAAATTATAAGTGCAGCTGACCTCAACCCTCTTACGAGCATCTCGTTTGGTTTTTTCTTGATCGATGAAATCTAGCCCATGGGTCTCAACCATACGATCAACAAACGCTCTGAATGTAAAATCAAAGAACAAAAATATATTCAGCCACTTGAACCCATATGAAAAAGTTTATAAAATATCCACCCAGCGAAACCGGCAGCAATCTCCTTAGCCTATTTTTTTGACTCGTCAGTATTGATCAAGGTCTTGATTGAAGATATTGAATTGAAAGCATTTCACCCTGGCATGGTTTTCAGGTTCACCATTTTTCTTCCTGTGATGATGAGTGCATTAAATCGGGATTGATGGTCAGTTGATCATATCGAGCATTGATGACAAAAAAGATGTCCTACTTGTGATCTTCCCAGGCTTTGGCGGCCTCGAAGGCAGCAGCGCCACTTATGAGCTCGTGCGAGATTCTTCAAATCACAAATCGAACATATCAATCATGAGAGAAAATTCAAGATGAGGGAGAGATAAGAGAAACTCACTTGGCTTTGTGACGCTCAGGTTCATAGCCACCTTCTTGAATCTCATTAAACTCTTGCCACTATCAAGTTCAAAATGATTTATCCTCAGCTTGAAACGTATGCTCGAAAGAATTGAATTTCGGAATAAGATTAGGTAACTGACCTTTTGAGACTCTTCAGATTTATGATCAAAGAAACCTATAAAAGATGAGTTGAACAGCCTATTAACTCTAGCAAATGTATACTTCTTTTAACGATGAGAAAACAGATTCCAACTGGAACAAACCCATGATTAAAGCTTTGAGTGTTATACAAATGCGAGTTATTGACGGTGGTGACGAAGACTATAGTGAAGTAAAGCTTTAAATTATAAACTTGAAGACCAAAACTTTGACCCTATTTGTAGTCTCAGTTGGTTTACTCAAACCACCGGTTATCCTTACACCCGGTGATAGCCTGTTTATCGATCACTCTATTTCCAGACGGTCTTCCTTTGTTTTATCGGTTAATTGACAGTCTAGATAACCACTCTGGAGGATTCACTCTGATTATCTCTGGTGGCTTATCGACTCAGATCTGCATCAACTGGCCAATGCTCACCTGTGGGATGCACAGTCATTTTACAAAAGCTTGATCAACTTTGCCCGCACAACTCGAGCAATTTGGCGGGGAATGTGTGGCAGGCTTTTCTGACTTGGTAAATCAATCAACACGAATGTCTAGTTGCTAGTCCCGACAAGCGTCAAGTCTCGGACCGAGCGGATAATTTCTGGAAAATCGATGCCGAGCCACAAAACTCACTCGATTTGGGAGCCGAGGATAACTAGAAGGAGACAGCGTACTGCTTAATCTCGTTACAGAGTTCGACGGATAATAACCGTCGTGGCAGTTTTTAAAGCTTATTACACCACCAGGTCATTTTTTGTTGACCAACCGGCGGTACGGCGTTTGAAGTTGAACCGGTGAGATCCGGTTCATACTTGGTGGGCCCACTACCCGGGCCCTGGTTTTGCAATGGTTTGATAAAACACAGTTGATCAACCACCTGGTCTGCGGTTGATCAACGGTATTCCATCCAAACCATTGCACAACCATGGTGCTAGTCAACCTCCCCGCTGGTTCATTTATGAGCGGATGAGAAGTGGTTCTACAGTGGAGCTAAAACAATAGCTCAGAGTTAACTTTAAGTACCTCAAGGCTTGGACTGAGTTAAGTGAAAGCTTAACAGTCCAAAATTTGTCCAACACTTGTTCACCCTTGGTCATCTAAAACAGCAAATCATCCTCAGACAATCTGGTCTCTTATATCAAGTTTGATGTCCTCACCGTTTTCAATTTGGAACCAATCACTCACTCAACACTAATTGTTTCACCACCACATCCTATCAATCCATCAATCAAAAACTCACTTAACAACATCAATCCAGCAAAAGTGGTAACGGACCCGGCTCAAGTTTTTATTAAATTGAACGACTTTCCAATTCATGTTGAATCAAATCACTTAAAACTTCAAGTCAATTTTTACAATTATCATCATTCTCTTCATAACTGACTTTAATTAGCCATTGAACAGTTGGTCAGTCGTTCGGATTAACCACTTCTCTGGTATTGGTTCACACGTATTTTGGTAATCGTCATCCAATTTTCATCTTTTTCTCCACCTATTCTCACTGTTTTGGATTCCTGATCATTTCTCCACTTCACTCTTTGTGCTCTGTCAGAGTTTCTCTCTCTTTGTTTGTCCAAACTATAGGTCAATAAATCGCTTTCGCAAATACTTGAACCACTTTTTGCAAACTCTACCCCATGGTCAACACTCTTACTTCATATCAAATTCGATCCATCTCCATTTCCAAGACCTTGAGCAATCTTAAAAACAACTCAATATTTAACTTATTTACCACATTCAGGTTTCCATCATCAAGATATAGCATTAGAACATGCATTAACATTAGCATATACATTAAACAGAACAAACCCCACCTTGTTTCTTTGGTACACCTATAAAATATATCATTTGAGAGAAGCTGACTCATAGACTTACAACAGCTCAAGCCAAAATCAGATTAAAACATTGTCATCAAACAAAATCATAACCATTGATATTATCATGTCTTGGATCTAATAATTAAATACTTCAATCAGTTGAGATCAAACGATTCATTTCAAATCGATCTTCAAACTCATTTCAATCCAAGCTTTACCAGAAGGAATCAAATGCAAACTTTTATGATGTTCTGATCTACAAGTTCAACGCGAGCTAGAATGTGTTTCTAAATAATTATCTTTGTCCTCTTGCCCCCAATTTTTTTTATTCCTTGTAGTCTATAGCTTCAGCTTGACATTCACATTCTCAAGATCAGGGGAATTCTGACTTCGTACCACTACATCTAACTTTTGCGCAGTGACTGCGCAATCGCGTCTCTTCTATTCGTCCAAATCATCATCAACCCATCATCACCCTTCCTAAAACAACTTTAACACCTCTCTTTAGCTCTCAGAACTCCTCTATGCCACCCGATCCACCTCCTCTTGCCCGACCAAAAAGATCCCATCCGACTTCGACGCATTCAAACGCGTTGGACGCGTGTAATAACGCGATGCAGGCTGAATTCGACATGGACACTGAAACGACCGAAACTGCTCCCAAAAGACCAACTCAACGAATGGCCAGCATGGACGTGAACCAGTTGTGGGAAACCTTACTCACGGACAAGCAAGAAAACGGAGACGTAATCGTACCGGCCAACCTAGTCCCTATCATGTCGGCTCTCCTGTTATCGATGAAAGAAACCACGCTCCGAATGAACGCGATGGAAGCTCAATTGAAGGCGTCAACGGAAGCAGCTCAGCGTATCGATCACTTGGAACGACAAATCAAGACGATAATCGGGTCACAGACACCCCAGCAAGCGCAACCAACGGTCTCAAACGGATTGCCGGCTAAACCGATGCCCTGGACAAAGAGTGCGACTAACGGGTTGAAGGTAACAGCAAACCAACCACCGCAAGCCCCACCTTCGAACAAGATCATCAACGCCTTCCGACCTAGTCAAGTAGTCATCAGAAGCGTCGAAGGTCACAAACCATTTGAAGGTGTAAAAGCAACGGAAATCATCAAACGTGTGAACCACGCGCTAGCCCAACTCAAAGTGAAAATAGCAGGACGCGAACTAGAGGTTAAAGGAGCCGCGGTGTTACCTTCAGGTTGTATCAAACTGTTTACGACGACGCGAGCTGAAGCCTAGTGGTTGCTGGAACACAGAACTGAATGGTCCACACTAGCTGATCCTGATTTGATTACTACGCCTGCAGTTTTCCCTGTAGTTATCGACTCCGTACCTACCAAAAATTACCCAGAAACCGATTCCATCAAGAGAACACTGGCTGAACAAAACCCGATCCCAATTGAAAAGATCCATTCGATTCGATGGCTCAGCAAACCCAATGAAACAGGCCAGAGTACCGGATCAATTCTCGTGAACTTGTTGGACAAAGAACTGATGAATTTGATGACCAGGGGTTCAGTTTACTTTGAAGGGTACAGTTTAAGGGTCAGGGTTTGCAAGAAGAATCATGTACAATGCTTTCGTTGTCAGGAACCTGGTCATATCAGCTTGCAATGCAAAAACAAAATTGTTTGTAAACATTGTGGAGCAGACCATGACTCGAGAGAGTGCCGTCTTCCCAAACCTGAGCGCCCTTACTGTGTACGATGTGTAGCCTCTGATGCATCAACAAACCCCGACATCGAAATTGACAAAATGAAATCAAAATACGCCCATTCAGCCTCAAGCACAAACTGCCCAATTAGATCCAAAGGTCTTCCATCAACCTCACCAATTACATCATGTTAAGATACAACCGTAATCAACATCCACGTGGTCCTATCTCTTCTTCCTCTACTATCCCCTTTTCTATTCATTCCACTGATCCTTCAAAAGAACCAACTCACTCAGCGCCAGTTGAATTTGAAACTGATGACACCATTGTACTTTTAGGAAAAACCGAACTCAGAGTAGCGCAACTCAACTGTTTTAATCGACAGGTAGTTGTAGAAAACTTACTAGCTGACAACCTATTTGATGTACTTCTATTGCAGGAACCGTGGGTCAACCCTCACACCCTACGCATACCAACACACCCAGCCTGGCACGACTTCATAGCTTACGGCTATTTAGCACAAACGTATAACAAAAAGACACGCACCGGTATTTACGTCTCCAAACGAATCCCGTCATGGAACATTGAAATGCTACCCAGCGGATCACCTTTCATCACGGCGGTAGAAATCACGAATTTAGAAGCAGGCCTTCCAAAACTACGTTGTTTATCTGTATATAATCCCCCAACTCAGAATAGTGGCTTACCAGTTCTGGAAACATGGCACAGGAACCACAATCTCCGACAAACACCAACGATAATAGGGATGGATGCGAACTTGCACCACCCGCTATGGAACCCGGTAACGTACAAACATACACACCCATTAGCTAAGGAACTAATAAAAATACAAGGCCGTGCAGGCTTTAAGATCCACTCACAGAAAAATATCCCAACTTTCTATCCACGCGCCAGAGGAAAGCCAACGACTACACTGCAGACATTATTCGGGTTCCCCAAGTGGGCAGGGAAAAATGATTGGGAGTATGATTTGTCATAAAATGGTCTATCACTCCACACCTGAGCCATAACACCCACACTACATATGTGTAGCAGGCTCAGTGAATATGTGGTTATCATGTACATACAGTTCTGCTCAGTTATCTGCTCATCAGGACAAGTTATTCATATGTAATACATGCTGTAACTTCTTTCAGATTGAAAAAAGCTTCCAAAAGATTGACTACATACACTGACTCAATGTTTTGGTGTGATCTCATCAACTCAACTGCATGTAACACACTTTCTGTTACTAAGACATAGCTTCAACAATATTGCCTGAGCAGCTACAGAATTATATGTAGTGAATTTTTGGGAAAAAAATTTCAAAGTCGAAAAAGTTACATGTGGTATAACATGTGATTTATTTATTCTGATGGGCAAAAAACTGAGCAGACCTGTATGTACATGATAGACAACTATTGACTTAGCTTGCTGCACATATGTAGTGTGGGTGAAATGGCCCAGGTGTGCAGTATTAGATTCTTTTATGAAAAACTGTACTATTAATCATTTTCCTCTGCCAAATTGGGGAAGTTGAATGATGTTTACAGTGCTATCGACCTAACTTGGATCAACTTCGAATTGGCGAGAAGGTTAACAACATGTGTCACAACTAGCAACAATTA